GGTAACCTTCTGAAAGTCAAATAAGACCACTGGCCAGAAATAAACACCGGCGACTTTTTGCTAAGACCAGTTATCTAGGTCAAATGTGGTTGTATGAGGAAGTCAGGTGGCACTTCGGGCACCGGGCTGGAGTTTGACATCGTTTGAAATTATTTGGCCAGAAGGCCATGACCTAGGAGCCTTAAAATTTGGCACAAGTGATTTCATATAGAAACCTTTAAATCCTGCGAATTTGATGCTTCTAGTTACTTGAGTTCTTTACATATCACGGGATGAAAAGATCCCCTTCCGCTCGAGCACGTCACATTCAACCGGTAGCCCGGGGGCGTGGTAAAAACAACAATACGTGTTCCGAGCTCAGATGTACCGTTGCTAGGTCTTCGATGCATAGTTCATTTAGGCGTAGGTCTTTCAAGAGTCGCTTTTCACAGCAGCATGTCTTCCGAACGTAGCTGTCAAGTTGTTGCTCCTCCGAGCACAGATGTTCACAGCGGTGAATCTTCCTAACGTAACTCTTCCTACCGCAGATATTTATAGCAGTAAGTCTCCCCAACGTAGCTCTTCCGAGCGCAGGCATTCCGGGAGTTAGCCCTCCTGGTACTATGCCTACCGAGAGTAGGTTTTTCATGAGCACGTCTTCCGAGCGTAGGTCTTCCGAGCGCAGGTCTTCCGAGCGTAGGTCTCCTGAGCGTAGGTCTTCCGATGTTAGGTATTCCTAGCAGCATTTCTTTCGTACGTATGCCTTACTGTATGCCTTACTAGCGTAGGTATTCCGGGAAAAGGTCGTCCGGAAGTAAGTCTTTTTAGTGTAGGTTTAACGCCAAGCAGGCCTTCCAAGAATAGGTATTTCATTTCTAACCCAGATATCAGCAGCTTTTAGTGAGGACATTTATTTTAAATGTGAGGCATATGTATGTGGCTTTGCGGATCTTTCCTGTAAACAATTTTCCGCACAAAAAATATTGCAACAAAAAGTTATGCGCAATATTGACAAAACATCATCGGAAAGCAAGGATGTTAAGTTGTCCAGAGATGCCTTTTTTTGGCTCTGCAGCAGGTTTTACAGTTTGTAGCTTATGAAGAATTAATTCACTTGAAATTCGTGAACTTATGCCGTACCGGTAGAATATTCATTCCGCCTATGTTTTTCGAGCAGACCAAAACTTGACGCTCGCAGCAACACGGAGCCTTCAGTGCTTCTTTACCTATCAATTTGACATCCTTTTGCAAATTTTAAGTTCTGATCTATCAAAAACAATGGCTTATGCCAGTGGCCAGGCCAAAGAGGCCAACCTGTGAAAGCAACACATAACGCATAGCGCATGCAACATACAACACATGACGTTTTTGTGGGCCATTGGCTATTGTTCAAACTTGCTATGTTAATAGAATATGATAGTGCCTACAGTTTGTGCGTTTCGGATTTTTCAAAAAAGGTGACGTCAGTTTCATAAAGTCAAGCAAATTTTTGATACTTGTCTTCGGTGATGCAAGTTTGGATGCATTTTTGTGTAATTTGGGTGTTTGTATTTAAGGGATAGAGTACTAACTCGCACGCACAACCATCGCATGACCATGGCACGCATGACCTTGGCCAAAGTCATAACCTACCTTTATGGTTGCCTTCTGCAAAACACATGCTGAGCTTGAGATAGGCAATTTCATCAAATACTTTTGGACGCATAATTCGAATGCACTACTAGAAATATCCTGTGATATCATCCTAATGCATAATAAGGTCATAATAGGTCAGGTGGGGTCGACATGCAATGCTACATGAGGTCAATCAAGGTTCATGCTCTATATTGCCAGAAGCGGAGAGGTTAGATGAACGAGTGCGACGCATGTAGCCATCTCCTTATCCTGTTCGTGAAACTGAAGTTGCATAATTTAATGTACCAACGTGCTTGTTCTTAGCTTGTTACAAATACATTGCCAAGCGTCGAGGAGACCATGTATAATGCATACAACAGCTATGCCATCTTGAGCATGTGTAGATGTACAACGCACCATTTTTGACCACAAAAAAGCATTGCGATGATCACATAGACACGATCAGCAGCCTAATTTGTGGAGCCATGTGGACCTTTTGACTTAAGTTGACCTCAGCTAACCTCCAGGTCTGCCTGAAATGGTACACATGACTACCATACTGTTATCTGTAATCCGCCCGTTGTACGTCTGTCTAGCTTGCCTGCGAGTCTATGCAGTTTTTTTACAACTGATGTCACTCTTTCAATTGCACACGCCCGAAATTTGACCTGAGTGTTACCCATCTAGGGGTATTGTGTATCTATGAGGTATGCGTGATCGCATCTGAAATATGTCTAGTTGTTTTGCTAAACAGCCAGAAAACGGTCATGTCATTCCCTTGAACGGGTCCTTCGCCAAAAGTTGTGATTGTGAAGGACACCATACCGCTTTTTGGAATGAGCCTCTGGTACGCACTAGTCCAACACAATTTGCGCAAAGTACAGAGTGTGCTAATGTAAAGGCAGTATGTGTAGACCTGTTCAAAAGCCGACGCGGGCTGGCACGGTCAGATGAATGCAAATTGTGTGTGTCGTTTGGGGTAGTTCTTAGCGCAGATTGTGCATTTAATAATCGAAACAATACCGAATGGCTTGGGCTATTTTACCTTTAATGTCAAATGAGGTCACCAACCTGAAATGAATACCAGTGGCTCTTGCTTATAAAACGATATCAAAGGAAATATGGCGTTCGAATGGGAGATCAATTCCAGCACCCCCCCCCCTCCCCCCAAGGCTTTTACGGAATAATTTTCAAAAGGCGCGGCTCAGCCGTGCCAAGCTTTGCACAGCTGTAGTAATTTAATAGTGCATATTTCGATATACAAAATTAGATATACCTTGCAAGGTCACCCGCTTGTGCAGGTCAAAATCAGGCCGCGATTGCCTCGAAGGTGGTTTCTAGGCATTCACTCAATCTATGCGACAAAGGAGCGTTAGACGCAGCCATGCATCTCTGACGTGGTTTCTTAGCTGGTAAAACAATGAAATTTAGGGTTAGAGCAAATATGTTGACCTAGGGTCAGGTGTGAAGGTCAGACCGAGGTCCAAGCCAATCTGTTTTTTTATTCGAGAGCGTGCTGTATGGGGTGGCATCTGGTGCTTGCTTCCAAGTCTAAACTGATCTCATAAGTCCTTGGCCTTTGTTTTAATGTAAAAATCTTAGCAAAACTATAGAACTTTGGTCGTCGTGAGTTTCTTAGGGTGAAATACCAGTGATCATGAACACCAGTGATGTTTTGTTTAATATATGTGTTGAGGTTCATGGTGGTTGCATGAGGAGGTCTGGGGGTACTTTGAACGCTAATCTGAAGTTTGACCTTATTTGCATTTATTTGACCCGAAGGCTATGACATAGGAGCTTCAAGCATAGTTAGAAGTGAGTTTCATACAAGTCAACTGATCATGTGAGTTTGATATCTTTAGCTCACTCAATGTTTAAACGCCCCACACCGGAGCGAGTGGCACTCAGCCAACCCTCGTGCGTGGGGTAAACCGGGTCGTGAGTAGAGTTCTGAGGGCGTCTTCCACTCCGATCTGGACTTTGACCTTGTTTGATCTTATTTAAACTAAAGTGAACAACCTAGGAACTTCAAAATGCAAGGACTATGATTTAACATGAAACCATGTACAAGACCAAGAGACACCAAACGTGAATTATGTGTCTCTTGCTCTGTAAGGTTTGCTAGATTTCATTGGTGCCAAATTGACTCCCAACCGAGCGCGTCACATTCAACCGGCCATCCAGGCGCGTGTTAACATCATTCTGCGGACAGATAGATCACTGGGGCTATCTTATAACTGTGTCATTGAAAACGAATACCGGAAGCACTACAAGAATGGCAGACAGATGACCTTTGAGCCCTAATTGCTTTAACCTGTGTAATTACACATTCCTCCTCAGCTGCACGCGATCATTTTAGCACAACACATAACGATGCGTAGCATAGATAACAACACGCGTAGCAACGCATTAGCACATAAATGCAACATTTCTAGGTGTCGATATATAACTGAGCGTGCGTTGTTCCTTCCTGCACCTCCTCCTCCATGTGGGTTTGCTATTGTGCCTGTTGCGTCACGTACTTCTACGAGTGAGGAATTGCCCGCTTAAATTGTGTGGGGAACACGGCGTTGTTTTCGCTGTTTAGCTAGCAAGGAAAACAATGCGATGGTCACATCCATGTACTCTTTATTTACAGTCAACAAATGAGTATTAACGTGGATATGCGCACTATAAGATCACGGTTTCAGCCCACTTTCCACGCTGATTCCCTGTGCTTCGACACGCGACTGAGATCAAGTGATGTGTTACGTGTGACACCACGAGCACAACCGCTTCCCAGTCAGCGGCACACAGTGGAGCATCCAGGAGCACCACCGGAACACCTCCCATGCAGGACAGAAGCCTTAATAAAAACACGCCGCGCTGAAATGCCTACGCTATCAGGCAAAGTGACAGGGAGAGGGGAAGGGAGAAAGAGGGAAAGAGAGAGGGGAGAATAGTGAGGACGGGTTCGCACTGCGCATGCATTCAACCAGCAGTGCCACCGTTTCCAGCAAGAACAGGTAGAGGCTAAACTTCTCAAGACAACGTCGACGACGGTACGCACAGGGACAGAAGCGCCGTGGTGGCAGCACATGAGAGGAAGGCCGGGGCGTGGTCGCCCCCGCCGGCCACCGCCGCCTGCACAGACAACGTCAGAGGACGCCGAAACGGAGAGGGAGACACAGACATGTGGGCCTCGCTAGACCGAAGCCGGGGAGACTAGGAGTGGCGCAACTACGCGTTTGACAGCACCGTCACACCGTGGCACTACAACCGGCTACACTACTCCGTCCGCAGCCCGGCGCTGCGCCGAGCCAAGAGTCGCCGATCGTGCACCCGCGTTGGTCAACACAGGTCAACACGGTCGGTCGCCCCGCTCCCGGCGCGCCTGGCGCATGCACCGCGGCTCGCCCGCCGGCCACCGGGGGCGCCGCAGGGCGCCGCGCCCTCTCCTGGCGCCGACACACGACGAGGTGGGGCGCCGCTGACACGCGCGGAGGTTCGTATGGCACATGACTGGCAGTATGGCGCACCAAACCACCCCGACTGGCTCGCGCGCACGCAGCTGCGATCGGTCGCGAACGCGCGACTGCGCACTAAGTGACGTCACATGCACACTAACACACCGTGTCTCAATATGACGTACGCCCCCACTGAGGCCGTCTCGCACGCGAAGCGGCCTCGCACGGCGCGGCGTGTGCGTGCCATGGAGCGCGAGCTGTGCACGCGAGCCTCATGGTGATGGAAGCTGCTTCGCCCGTGAACAGAAACGGGGAGCTAATAACACGCGCCGTACACTTAGGAGACATGACAACCGCTATGGAATGAAACGCTGATTTGGTAGAAAAGCGAACGTGAGTACTAACGCCACATCAATTGATCGCAAAATGGTGTGCGGCCGAGCCCGTACGATGCACCGAGCTGAAATGATGAGATCTCGCACCATTTGCACAGCGCGAAGCTTGGCCGTGAATTGCACAAAAAACATAGCCACTTCATTAGATTTGAGCAAGGTTGAACATAGGGCGAGCACAAAAAAGCAATCGATAAGTAATATCAGAGAGAAGAGACGCTAATATGGCAGCGGTGGGGGAGAGCGGTGCGAAGCCCATTATCACCACCAGTCACAGAGGTGTAAGAGAGCTGTTGAGTCACGCAGCAGAGTCGGGACGTGACGCCGGAGCGCCCGGTGTGACACGGTGATGTCAGCGAGGTGTCAGGTGACATAACCGGCAGTGTCCCCGTCACTGCACTGTCAGGCTGGAGCCTGTAAAAACGCACAGAACGCACTGTGAGTCCTGGGCTGCACTGTAATTAATTAGCGCCGCTTAATTAGCGCTGCTTAACTAGCGCTGCTTACGTAACACGATTTGGTCACTCGCTTGCCACAGCCCGCACGCCGGGTGTCGCAGTGGGGCCGGTGAAAATCCCGCAGTTGTAACTCGAGTTTCACGCTCTGCAGTCTGATAACCTGTCAGGATAGTAATGTGAATTAAGGAGCGTATCGCAGATACAAATATGGAAGGTTCTGCACAACAGCAGCAAATGGCGACGAATATTCAGACAACTTGGGACGCAAAACACCTGAACACATAATAGAAACAAAAATGATAACCATGATCTATGATGTTAAGACCCTAGAGCGCAAAATTACCTATCTACATGTGGATGAAAATAACGCGGTCTCCATAAAAGAGTTATTAAATACGATGGCCAACGAGAACAATGGTGTCATCCGGTTCAATGCCACCTGAACGGGCGGGATGAATGCCCAGCCCGATACAGCCTTGCGGAACTGCCTGCGATCAGTTTGTCAGCGTTGCCTGGTGAAAGTGGAGCTGAACCGGCCAGCTAAACACACCAGGTAAAGGAAGTGCTGCCGGGCAAAGATGAGGACAAAGATTTAGCGATGGTATGCCAGCTGTACGAGTGGTCCATGGGTGAGAGACTGAAAACCGTCGGAAATAAGCAGCGGTGAAATAATGATTGTTTATATGGAATGTTTTTTTAAGGCGAAGAAGAGATGGGCTCGCTGCAATAATGTGACATGATGAACTGTCGGCATCGGTTTGGTATATTCTGTTCGGTGCCACCCTTGAAGCAAAATGTCCAAGTCAGCTGGAGCAAACTGGCCAAACAGATCACATTAATGCTTAAGGCATGTGTGTTTGAAGGACGTTTTCATTAGCTGAAATGAGCCAGCTGACTGATGCCGCATATTCGCAACATAAATCAAAATAAGGCGATGCCAGTCTGCTATGTCAGGTGTGTCTCAGACAAACCATCAACCGCAAATGCTTACCTTTAGCGGTGTTCGTAGATAAGCGACGAAGAGCAGATGCCATGTAGCCACTGATTGGTCTTGAAAGAGGTAGCCTCTGGCTGATGAGAACGATCTCTTCTCTGGGACACTAAGCTGGCCAGGCCGTTTGCTCCCAGCCGGCTGGCAGGCAGTCCGGCGCTGCCGATGCTAGCGCCACCTGGACAACTTTCACTAGCGCCATCTGTCCCATATTTCCGCGCCACAAACCTAAATCACAAGAGGATACCAATGCAGTGAACGCGAAGTTGAAAAAACCGCGAGACGGTGAAAACCAAAAAGCAGCTAAAGCAAAACAAAAATACGTACTTATAGCCAACCGAGCCCGGCTTTGTCTCCAGGCACTTCGCAGTACGCGGCGCACCTCATTTTAGCATCTCACACGCACACCGTCCACCTGATGAACTATTGCACTTTTAGAAGAGGCTCTTGAGGAAGCCGCCGACTGCCTTCGACGCGTTGGCTGCGTTTCCAGCCACGTTTCCGGCCACGTTGGCAGCGGCGCTGGCCGCGTTCCCAGCCGCGTCCGGCAGGATGCTGGGCAGCTGTGGCTGCGGGCAGGCGGCGAGATTCGGCTCAGTCCAGCTCAGCACAGGGGGGGGGGGGGGGTGAGGGAGTCCCGCGCGGGAGCGAAGGAACGAGCTACGCTGGTCTTCGCGCTCACGTCTAACCAGAGCTATCGCTGCATTTCTGACTAGCTTCTGCTCAAAATCACGTAAGTGACTTACGAGGACCGTCATGCACATGGATAGTAATCATAGCATTATTCATCGCAGAAAACGAGGAGAATGAAAATAGATGCGTTTACGTTTCGAGAAAAATGCCTTTATCAAAAATAATCGCAGAAGTCCGTAACAGAACAAGCGGAATAATTAATAGAGTAACAACTCTGCCGAATGGGGGAAGCCTTCTGCTATTTGTTTCGATAAAGACATGTTGCCGAAATATGAACGCACCCGTACCTCCATTCGCCTGGTTTTTCATCTAGGATTAAAGTTGTTACGAAAAGCTCATCTAGCTTCTGCTCAATTAGATTACTGCGTGTTCTTTTTCACCGGAATAAACTGCCACGGCGTTGACATTGCGTTTACCTAACTGATCGCGGCACGTGATGCCGTATTAAAATCTGTAGTGAGACTCAAATACATCAATGCCTCTAAATCAAGGAGACACTCTTCCATCTAAATTTAGGAGAACCGCTGGCACATGACTTGAACAAGGCATAACATGCCACGCAGAACACCTATCCCTATCACAAAATAAGCTTGAAAAAAGATTAATCCCGTAAATACTCCTCCGCATCACCGATTTCTTTTCCAACGTTAGGCAGCAGCTATCGCGCTCTTTTGTGAACCCCGACGTCAGCACCGGACACACGCCGTCTCTCGGCCGAGCGTCGGCGCCGGCCGTTACCTTGGCCTGGCCGGGTGGCGGCACCTGCGGGCTGGCCACGCCGGGGGTAGTGGCCCGCGACGGCGCCGCAGACGGGGGCGCCGTCAGCGACTGGCCCCGGCCCCTCTTCAGCGCGCTGCAAGGCATCAGGCACGTCAGCGTGGTGCCCGTCTGCGCTCCACAAACGTAAGAACAAACACACGTGTGCATAAGCGTTCGAAAGCGACGAGCAGGCGGAGAAGTGGCATTAGAGGATCGGAAACCTGGCCAGATTCTTGCAGAAGTGACTTTGGGATCAGAATCCTTGGTAAGCACAGCCCTTTGCGAAGGCCTTGATCGCACTAACCGAGAAGAGCAGTTTCAGTTGAGCTTTAACGGAAGGATTGAGACGAGGCATTTGTATCACGGGTGAATGACTGTTCGGACTACCGTCCTCTTCCGGTGTGTTAGTATGCACATAGCGTTTTGGTCGATTCACATTCCAGCCGCCGGCAGGTATCATTGAATGCTGGGACGGACTGGGCGATATTTGACTTTCGGCCATGTACGCGCTGCGCTCGGAAACCTACCCTTGGATCTGTGATTCGAACCAGGGTCTGCTGCCTGCGAGGCCAGTATTCTACCCACTGAGCCGAGTTCTCTTCTTGTATTGTGTTGATTTAAACCGGGGCCTTCTGACTGTGAGGCCAATGTTCTACCGACTGAGCCAACGGAGAACTCGTAATCGGTAAGCTTTTCCCGGCGAGTTCAGTTGGAAGAGAACTGGAGGCGCAACAGAAAACCCTGGTCTGAATCCCAGCAATTTCAAGAACACTCGGCTGGTGACGCGTGCATGGTTTAAAGCCAGACATCGCCCGGTCGTTCTCAGGACGACGGCCAGAGAGCTTCCTGCTTCCTGAATTACTCCATCCTAGTTCCAGTTGAAGTGACAGCTTTAGCCGAACTTATTTAACGCGCCATATAATATCATGTCAGGATAATGTCGAGACACGGCCGCCCCTATCACTTTACCCCTGCCATAGTCAGCTGTATCTCGGCGGTCTCTGGTGAGTCCGAAAATGGACCACTATTTCGGAGATGCGGACCGCGCAGCGGGCCGCCATAATGGTCAGGTGTTCAGGTGTGCTGACCGTCTCTGGTGAGTCCGAGAATGAACCCCTACTTCGGGGACCCGGACTTCGCAGCGAGCCGCCAGAGTGGTGGGGTGTCCAGTGCCCTACCTGATTATGGTGTCCTAACTGATCAGTAACCCTGGCTAACAACTGATTAACTGAGCTACGTGTTACGGAACCTCACTACTACGGGCGAAAACTACGGGCGTGTTACGGAACCTCACAAAGAGCCAACCACTTTCAATCGTTATTTGCGCAGGTTGTGACGTGTACCATAAAAACATGAGTTAGGATTTGATGTTTGACTTTGGCTCTGTTTGTGTTAGATTGTTTGCTGACATCGCGTGACCGTCGTGGAAACTTCACACTTGTTTCATATCTCTTGTCGTCAGCGGAAGAAAATCGCAGCGGAAAATCTTGATAACTCGACTTCGTTCACTCTACGTCTCATTCGTTGCACCCGTTTACCTAAAACTATCGTTCACATCGACAGGGAAAAAATAGGCACGTGTAAGCATTTCCTAACAAAATGATTCATGCCAGATCTTTCTAATTATGAGCGAGGCCGCAGGCCACGGAAGTCTTACTTACATTATGAGATAACTTTCTCACTTGAGCGACCCGCCCAGGCACAGCCATAACGGTCTTCAACAAGCATGTCTTTAGAGAAGCATTCTATAAGCTCCTGTGGAGTCTTGCAACCAATGGCCGCAGGCACATGCCGATTTAAAAAAGAACGCAGTGCTCGAAACCCTGCGCTGTGTGCATTGTCTTCATGCAGTAGATTTACCTCGCAACGTGGTAATACAAATAGGATTTTATCTCCTCTTTCGATTGACACGATATTGGTGCGTCTTGCTCTCTTAGGTTTGCTAGATTTCAGGGGTGCCAAATTGACCCCCAACCGGGCGCGTCACATTCAACCGGTCACCCAGGCGCGTGCTAACATCATTCTGCGGACAAATAGATTACTGGTGCTGTCTTGTAACCGTGGCACTGAAAACGAATGCCCAAAGTAGCACGGGAATGGTAGACAGATAACCTTTAAGCCCTAGAACCGGCCCATGTAACGTCTCATTCCTTATGAGCCACACGCGATGAATTTAGCGCGACGCAGTGACCTGAGCGTACCAACGATCTAGCACTCATAGGTGCCCATAGATAACTGAGTGTGCGTCACCTTCCCCCCTCCCCAACATGAGTGTTTGTTGTTGTTAAGCACAGCTTAGACAACTGAATAGCGGATCGTTTGATATCTAAGATTTAGATGCACCTTGTAAGGTGGCTGACCTACAGTAGGTCAAAGCGAGGCCATGAATTCAACGAAGTCAATATATATGAAACCGTTTAATTTGATGCAACAATAGAGTGTTAGACGTAGTCATATATCTCTGATATGCTTTCTCAGGCAACACGAATATTGAATGAACAAATGCTCTTGACCATAAGTTAAGTATGAAGGTCCGACCAAGGTTAAAACCAATCTGTTTGATTACTCTAGGGCTTGCTGTATGGGGAAGATTCTGGTGCTAATTTCGTATTTATTGATAACAGGAACCGCATTATGCATTTTCCATGAACTCACTTAAGGTTAGAATAGGTCACTTACCTAAAATGACCCAGGCCAACATTTTGTTTATAGGAACATACTGCTTTGTATTATCTTTGCCGCTCATTTGCATGCAAAACTCAAAGCAGTCTTGCATGATGTTGGTCACCATGACGTTCAAAAGGTCAAACAAGGTCACTGACCTTAAATGAGTATGTGATCTTTTGCTTAGAACAGGTATCTAAGTTGCTTCGTGCACTTTGGAGACCAACCAACAGTATGACCCTGTTTGACCTTATTTGACCCAAAGGTCACGACCTAGGAACTTCAAACTTTGACCTAAGCGAGTTCACTTACAGATCAACACACCCTGTGAATTCGATGTCGCTAACACTTTTAGTTAAGGGGGGGGGGGGGCAAACTGACTCCCACCCGAGCAAAGGGTATCCAACCATCCACCCGGGCGTGTGTTAATATGGAGACCATTTCAACAAATAATTATTCGGCGGGACGATAACTTCCGAATGTAAAGGGCATGACCGCGACGTAATATGTTACACAGGCAAGGTTCGCGTGCAACAGTACATTAAGACGAGATAGCATAATGTATGCTGCTCTCTCGTGATGCAAGTTGTGGCATGGCAAGGATTAGACGGCGAAAGAGGTGTCTGCATTTAAGTCAAAACGCCTTAGTGTTGTACTTAATGGTCGCGTGAAACCAAGCCTCCGAAGATCTCAGGGGTTCGTATCCGGCTTCCGAGGCGTTTCGTGCCATGCCCGCAGCTAGTCCCAGCCGCCCTACGTTTGGTGCAGCACAATGTCATGGCCATCAACAAGCGCTGCTGACATTTTCTGCCTGGCTTCAGACCTGTCTGTTTCAATTGCGCATTGGTAAATGTCGGAGCTCAGGTGCAGTGGCAGCGCAGGCTTGACCTTTACCGGATTTCAATATTTTGCCATCTCGGTAAGAGCCTGTCTAAGTCTGAGTGCCTGAGAGCGTTCGAGCAAATCCACTTAAATCTCGATTAGGTTTGAAATGGAAGGTCCACTGGCTAAGCTCGAGCAATCTTCTATAATCAAAGAGTCCCTTCGAGCCACACTTATCTGGACAAGTCGCGAGCTAATGACACAATACTTCGAATAATAACCGCTTCTGCTTAAACTCACTTGCTACTACAACAAGTGATGAAGGCTAAGCTGGCGCTGCCAGTTTCACGGCGTTTCAGCCCGGCAGCCGGGGCTGAACTGCTCCTGTCGTGCCTGAGCAGCAGGACTCACATCCGAATGCGAGGCGTGGAGATAGACACCTGCTAATTGAACATCGCGGTCCAGAGCACCTGTGACAGTGGTATCGCTCCACCCATGCAGCCAAGTATACCGTCGCTAGCCGGCTGCGAACCCCATCCAACGAGATCGACCGCCGGGCTCAAGATTGAGTATCTTAATAGACCGGCTCCTAGGAAGTCTGCTGGCCGTTACTCAAAGCTCGACCTCTGTAAATTTGGAGGCGACGAACGCCGAGCCCACTGCCGGGCTCGCATCGGTGCCGACCCCTGCTTAACGACGGTCGGACAGATTCACCCGAGTCAGGGCTGCTCGTCAGCTGTCGGTCTGCCCAAGTCAGAGCCGCTCGTCAACTGTCGGTCTGCCCGAGTCCGGACCGCTCCTCAACTGTTGGTCTGCCCGAGTCCGGGCCGCTCCTCAATTGTCGGTCTGCCCGAGTCAGGGCCGCTCGTCAACTGTCGGTCTGCCCAAGTCAGAGCCGCTCGTCAACTGTCGGTTTGCCCGAGTCAGGGCCGCTCCTCAACTGTCGGTCTGCCCGAGTCCGGGCCGCTCCTCGACTGCCGGTCTGCCCAGCTCAATGCTGTGTGTCAGCTGCTGGTCTGGACAGAAATGGCGCCTAGCTAGGTGAGCCGGGTGCTGGGGGTACCGAGGAATAGATTTAAAACTATGCTGTCACCCGTAAGCAATACTTCAGACAGAAGTTATGCCAATTTGAGAGGAAATTTTCTTCTTAACATCGTACACCGTAAAAAACGTTGTGCACGAACAAACACAAGTTGAAATAATCCCAACCCAACATAAGGTGAACTGTGATCGGAGCATCACACCCCATAAGGTGAGCTGTGATCAGAGCATCACACCCCATAGGCCTTGTGCACTCACTCCTGCAGCTCCTTGATGGTCTTGTCCTTGGCGAACTGCTCCTCCTGCGACATCTGCATGAGGTGTAGCAGCCGCTCCGACTCGCCCTGCGCCTTCTGGTTCTCCAGCCGCACCTGGGCCAGCTCGTCTTGCAGCGCTTTCAGTTCCGCACCGTTGTCCTCCTGCCGTGCTGCCGCCTGTGGGGGCAGGGCGGGGTCAGGCGCGGCAACTGGTGCGCCTGCCACCGCCAGGCTCCGCTCGTCCGCTCACTCACCAGTCATCCCGCAGTCCCCCCCCCCCCCCCCCGCCTGCGCATGCGCCGTAGTGTGTGCAGTAAACTGATGTATTCTCGAAGCGGTTCGCAATCACCGGGCTCAGTGGTGGTTGCTGTAGCCAGTCGATACAGGAGCTGTGAAGTTCAGTCGCGTGTTGGCCCGGCCTGCCGCACGCAGCGACAGTACGGGAGAATCGATACAGGTGGCGCTGTCGCAAGATCGTTATGGGGGAAGTTGATAGCAAGACAGGCATTCATTAGCCTGCCTGCAACAAATGTCTGTGAGCGTAACTTTTCCACAAGGCACCTGCCGCTCTCAGCGGCAGCGAAGCAGTTGGTGCCAAGTGACGGGAGAAGGATAAGGAATCGCAACATCCTTCTTTGTCGTGACTGTGGACATCGAAGCCACACGGAACATCGTCATTAAGACAATTATGACGAGGTACGACAGAATCGTCCCCTTCTATTACAGGGACGCAGAAGTGTGGTCTCATTAACGTTGGTGAGGCACAAACCACTTAAAGACACGGCCGACTGACGCCACAAACACACGAAGGATCCGTCTAAACCGGGGCTCATGAAGACACTTCAGTGATTGCACCAACACTGCGAATCATCCAACTCATTCTCATCGCGCAAGATCGCGGATCCCGCACGGTTCTTCACTTCGAGCAGCTTTGTCCACACTATGAGAGCCAATGTGAGAGAACAAGCTCCGGCACACCAGTCTCCGGCTCCCCGGCACTTACAGGCTTTAACAATTTTTGTGCTCTTTTGTGCTGTAGATCTTTGAATTTTTGCATTTTCTTATGGCGCAAATTCGGGGGCCTGTGTTCAGAAAAGCCGACCGCGTTAGTGCTACATTCCTTAGATTTGACGAGAACCTCAGAATCATACTGATGGCTGATTCTGATTCAGAGTCAGACTGATGGCTCGCAACGCAACTTGTCAATCACGCCAGCCACGTCGCATTTGACGTCAGCAACAAAAAATTATCAGCATATAGCTATTGACCATCGGCCAACATACCAAGCATTCTGCATGACCTTCCGCGCGCGCTCATCCTCGTCCGAATTTACAGCACGCATCATCATACTTTACTCGATCTGGACAGCCAGCGAAGGCTGTCAGCGGGTATTGGAGTGGGCGGTGCGGTGCGAAGACCGACTTCTGCCCGGAAATGATGTAGTTCCGGTGGCCGACTTCCTGTCCGCATCGCGAAAGCCGGTCCGCGAGTGCCCAACCGCGGCGCCGCTGTTTACGATGGTGGTGCTCATTTGCCGGAGTGCCGATAGTGAGCTAAATGGTCCGCTCGCGACGGATAGTGAGTGTTATTGCCTGTCGAATGGGTGGCGCTTTACAGACACCCCGAGCGATGTTGCTAGTCGATTTGCATCTGCATCGATGCTGGGACAGACGAGCTCAGCGCTGCCGTGCAGGCGGATGAAGCTGATGGAAAGTTGGACGGGCGCAACGAGGACAACGCAACGCGACAAGAATACAGCTGTGTTGCTCGTCAAATCGCGGTGGTCTCATTAAAACAGCAGTGGATGTCGACATGCTACGTGGCGACAAGCTACATGATGGCCTGCCTACCTTGGTGGCCAGCTCGTTCTCCAGCTGCTGGACACGAGCTTGCAGCTGCGCTAGCTGCCGCTCCCTCTCCTCCGCCTCGCGGCCGCGCTGCTCCAGCAGCTGCGCTTGCTGCTGCAATTGCTGGGTCTGCTGCTGCAGCTGCATTGACTGCTGCTTGATCTGCTGCTGCAGGGCAGACTCGTCCTCCGCGCTGTTGCCGGGAGCGGACGTCTTCTGCTGCGCCTTCTGCAGATCCAGCTGCGGTGGGCAGAACACTTAGTAACATGTTGGCAACCATGACGCACAGTCTCGGTTGTGGAAGCGAGTTAAGTCCCATGGCCTCCCCTCATTATGTGTGTTTTAACACTGCATTGTCTGGTAACCACCTGCGATACCCCGAATGCCGACAGACATTTTATCACGCATCTTATTCCATATTTACGTGCTGTGCTATGTCCATACGGAACACTTTTGGACAAAGCTCAGCAGTGATGAAACAGTAGGCATCATTGTTTTGCAGCAGAGAGAAGCCCGCTTCGGCTTCACATTGGGACCGCACAGTTAACATACACCCCGCGCATGGGGTGTATGTTAACACCGCGACGACCGAAACGTTCGTGGTTGAACTGAGTGATACTTAGATCAAAGACGGTAATTTAGGTAACTATTTCGCAAAAAAGACTCGATAGAAATAAGAAAAACCTTCAGCTCCTGGTTCTTCGTCATTATGAGTTCAGAGTGCCTGAGCCCACTAATCGGCCTTCAGTGTGTCAAGAGCTTGAACGACGTCATAGAGCAAGCGTTTCCTATATTGACAGCACTCGACGTTGAAAACTGTGCTTATGATCACCAGTCTGAACGCTTATGACCGATGTCAAATCATTCATTATAACGTTATAACACCTGCCATACTGAAGGCCAAACAGTCAGCACAAGAGCTCTCGACTCATTAAGATTTCCCTTTAACCCAGGATTCCGATCAATCCTAGTGCATCGAGCTATTGAGCTGCTTATTGAAATTACCCTGTTAAATTATATGGACTGTCTTCAATGTTGTAATCAGAGCAGATAACTGCAATCAAAACGCAACCATAAGTTATGGACGCGTCGTCAATGTCATAAAGGACCCGGCGTGCGCTTTATTGCAAGCCGTCGGTCACGCCTATTTGCTAATGCACCGTCATGAAAGTCATCTCTGGCATAGCAAGACAGGCAGCCGACATAAGGACGTTATGCTTTGTCATGGAACGTTTGTCACATACCTGCGTTCGCTGCAGCTCCTGCACCAAAATCTCCAGCTGCGATTGCAGGCGTTCGCGCTCCACGCGGGCGTTCTGAATGTCATCCTTCGATCGCTCCAGTTCCTTTCGCAGCTTCTGCACCTCGTTGGAATCGCCGGCCTTCTGCTGCAGCAGCTGGTGAGCAGACGACAGCTGCTGCTGCTGCTCCTGAATGGTGCCACTCTGCTGCTCGATCTGCTGCTCCTGCAGCTGCAGCTGCTGCTTCTGCTGCTGAATCTGCTGTTGCAGCACGCTGGCCGCCTGGCGCGCCTCGCCCCTCATCACCTCCAGCTGCTGCTTCAGTTGCGTGACGTGTGCCTGCGCCTCCTGCAGTGCCTTCTCGGCGCGATCGGCGCGGCTTCGCTCGCTCTCCAGGCTGGCCTGCAGCTGCTTCAGCTGCTCGGAGTCCGAGGAACGGCTGCTAGTCTGTTCGGCGCGCAGCTCGGTCTCCAGCTGCCGCAGTCGCGTCACCTCCGCCTCGTGTGTACGTCGCATTTCGTCCATCTGCTGCTGCTTTTGCGCCAGCTCCTGCGTCAGCTGTTGCAGACGGTGGTCCCGCTCCTGCAGCTCCTGTGCTACCTGCGTCTGCTGACCACTGGCCGTCTGTTGCGACCGCTCCAGGCTCTGCTGCGTGCTCTGCAACTCCTGCTGGAAAGTGGCCAGCATCGCTGACGATTTCTCCAGCTGTGTCACCAGCTGGTCACGTTCGGCGGTGATCTGTGCTAGCTCACGTTCCAGCTCGGCCACTCTCTGCAGCTGTTGCTCGGTCACTTTACCCTGCTGATCGGCTGCCACCAACCGTTCCTCAGACAGCCGGACTCGCTCCTGCACCTGTTGCCTTTGCCTCTCGGCCTCCTTTGCAGTCTCTTCTGCCTTGAGTCTTCTTTCCTCAGCCTGACGTTTCGCCTCCAACGCTTGCCGCTTTTGTTCCTCAGCCTGTCCTCTGCATTCCTCAGCCTTTTGTGTCTGCTCGTCAGCCTGGCGTTTTTGCTCCTCAGCCTTCTGCTTCTGTTCTTCAGCCTGTCGTTTCTGTTCTTCAGCCTGCCTCTTCTGCTCCTGAGACGTACGGAGAGCGGCGCGGGATTCCTCTAGTTCACCATTCATCTTCGCCAACTGTTCCTGGAAGCCCTGGATCTGCTTTCTGGCCTGCTCGTCGCTGCTGCTAACTTTGTTCGCCACCTGCTGGAGGCCTTGGCGTTCCTGCTCGGACGTCCGCAGCTCACCCTCCATGCGCTCCAGCTTGCTGTGCAATGACTCAATTTCCATGGCCATCTTCTCGAACTCGACCTTGGCTGCCTCATTGCTGTCTTTGTACTTGGTGAGCCGCTGCTGGGTGTGCTCGAGCTCGCGGCTCAGTCGCTGGGTCTCGGCATCAGACGCCTGCTTCTGCTCGCTGACCTTCTGCAGCTCGCCTTGCGACTTCTCCAGCTTGGAGCGCAGCCGGTCCATCTCGGCCGACATCTTCTCCAGGTCATCCTTGCTCTCATTCTGTACCGAGCAGCGCTTCTCCAGCTCGGCCTGCGCTTGCTGCAGGTCGCTCCTGGTGCGCTTCTTCTCCGACTCCAGCTGCTCGACCCGCTGGCCCAGTCGCGTCGCCTCGCCCTGCGCCTTTTCGTACCGCGACCGGATGCGCTCCAGTTCGAACTTGAGCCGGTCCACCTCACCCTGGTTTTGCTCTTTCTCGGACGCGAACCTGGTCATGTTGTTCTCGTGCTTGTCCAGCTCCTTCTGCAGCCGCATTACTTCCTCCTGCTGTTTTTCGTTCTGGATTCGCTGCTTGCGTACCTCCATTTGGGAGACATCGTACTTCTCCCGCACGCGGTCCAGCTCGTTCTGCACCACCTCCAGCTGAATGTCGGACCTGCTATCGTCCGTCAACGACATTCCCTTTTGTGACTCCAGCCGATCCAGCTCTATGCGCAGCTTGGCCGCCTCTTGCTCAAACCTGTCTCGCATGAGGTGCTCCGTCTCCAGGTCCATCTGCGTCTTGTCAAAGCGCTCCCTGAGTCGTTCGATGTCCAGCTTCAGGCGCTCCTGCTCCTCCTTGCTCTTCTCCTGGCTGTCCTGGTACTTGCCGAGGCGCGCCAGGTAGCGCTCCATCTCAGCCTGGCACGTCTCGGCCTCAGCCAGCGCCTTGTCGCGTTCCGCCTGCGCCTTGCGCAGCTCCGCATGGCTCCGCTCGCCCTTTTCGTACGCCTTCTCCACCTCCACCTGGAGGCGCGCCAACTCCTCGTTGCTGCGGTCCTGCGCTACCTGCAGCTTCTGGTACTGCGCCTTGGAGCGCTCCACGTCGAACACCAGCTTGTCTACCTCCTCCTTGAGCTGCTCGCGGTCGTTAGTGAGCCGCTTGGTCTCCATCTGCGACTTCTCGTACTTGTCGCGCAGCCGCTCCAGTTCGAGGTTGAGCCGCTCCATCTCGTCTCGCGAGCGCTCCTCGCTGTCCTTCATGCGCATGAACTGTACGGCGCTGCGGTCGTACAGCTCCTGCAGCTTTTCCAGCTCGTCCTGGGCGCGCCGGTGCTCCTCCTTGGTCTTGGTGAGCAGCAGGTGCGATTTTTCACCCTCCGACTGCAGCCGGTCCTGTTCGTCCTGAGCTGTCTGCAGCCGACCCTGCAGCCGCTGTACCTCGCCCTGTGACCTGGTGGCGCCGGCAGCGGCGTGTCAGGCGAGACGACCAGGATGCTCACCTGTCAGTGACGATCCGATGCCAGCACGCGGGGTCAGGGGCACCATCAGATCGGACACCAGAACGACACGTGGGAAACCGCCAGCCATGGACGAGGAGAAACGGGGCCTGAGTAGGTGCTGCGAAATAGTATCATGTGCCCTACATCAGGACACGAGAGAGAGACAAAGTCAGTGCAAACACCACGAAAACCACCTCCAAGCCGACTCCAACAACGGGAGGACAGAAAACTCAGAGCAGACAATGCGAAACGACACTATACTGGTGACCTGACGGCAGGCGCAGTGACGACACAAGGGCAGAACAGAGACAGAAGAGTACTCGCATGAATGACGAACGCCTAGTGTGGCTAGATTCAGAAAAGATGAACTAATGCGTTGTATTATCCCATGTAAACCGGAGAAAAACTGCGAGAGGATTATGCTATTTCCAGTGACGCGGACAAGCTTCCGAAAAGCGAGAGCTATGCAAGTGCGGCATGCTGACGTGAGTTGGTAAGTGCACGAGCCATGGGCAGAGAAGGCGGTGTGACAGGCGTGGCAATGGCCGCATCAATTCATTGACATCAGTCTTAATTTAGCGTGTTGCCACTGAAACACACTCGTTAGGGCAACATCACCACACCAGTGTCCTCAACATTCTCTTGTTGTCGTGATACGGACGTTTTTGGCACATTGCGATCATATCGATGCCGTGCGAAGCATCCATGCGTTCTGAAGTCATTTTTTTCTGCGGTGGATACCCGAAATTAGATACATACATATATATATATATATATATATATATAATTGTATTATACAAATTATTATTAGTTATATAATTATATAATCATCATCCGACGGCAGGTGGCAGCAGCACAGTTGCTTATCTGGCGCTACCAGCTGCAATGTTACTTGCCATGAATTCCAGGTTACGCGCAAAACCGACGGTTGGCGGTTGGCGGCTGGACCCAATTCTAAACGGCCTCAAAACCACAGGCGAAAATAATTGAGATGGCTACGTGGAACCTTCCCCATCACCATCCCCACGCAGAAATCAGACAACGACAGCTTCCATATGCCGCCGCGCTGTACCGCTGCTCCCCCCTCCCCCCCCCCCCCCCCCCACAGTTCACACCCGCGCTCCGTGGCGTGTCATCGCGCGTGTTTGGCGGCGCCCGGGTCCGGCGCTGGTGGGAGCCGGCTGGCGTGCCGCTGGGCCCCCGTTTTATCGCCGCTCGGACCAGACATCGACCCGGCTCGGGTCGGCCGGCCGGCCCGCCGCTGGGCGAGTGGTTTATGTAGCGATGCCACCGCACTGCGGGCGGCCTGAGTGAGCCCGGTCATCCAGGGCCGTGTCCAGACATCACTTCTGGGGTGAGTGTGCTTGCAATGCACCAAAAACACGACTGCAGCACCTTTGGTGTATCACTCAATCTCAGACATATCAGCACTACATTTAAGGATCGCAGCCGGACTGCGCATGCATCCGCTCGACCAGCCCTTCTCACTCCCAACTGGGTCCGCTGCTGAGACCCCCACCTCAGCTTCGGACTGGATCCGCCCCTGCCACCCTGGCCTGGGTCCGACCGGGTCCTCTCTGCCAGCTCATCCCCGCCCCCGTCCGCGTCTGATCTGCCCCCGAAACCCTTAACCAGTCCGGCTGGGTACGCCTCTGCCACCTCCCGCCCAGCTCCTGCTGGGTCCGCCCCTGCCGCCCGCTGCCCAGTCCCGGGCAGCCTGGGCTGCAGCTGGGTCGCGGTGGCCGGCCTGTGGGCCTGCTCGTTACCGACGGCCGGCCGATAGCGCACCGCCGCTACCGACTCCGTTGATTGGGACGCGGTTGAGGGGGGACGGAGGAGGGACACCGCGAGACACTGGCACGCACGTCACGCGCAGATATCACGCCAGCTGGCAGCACGTCTGCCGCCCGGACCAATGGCGTATCAATTCCTACGTAAAGGGAATGTTTCACGTTTGGAGATATGGAGGCGAACATCAGATATGATGGAACAAGCTCACTTATAACAATATGCGTATTTTGTTAGCGGAAAAGACTGCTCTACGCAGCAGTTCTCTGTTGAGCACCTCAATGCGTCACAACTTGACTACGTCACCGTACATTCCACAACATTGATTGGGAGCTAATTGACGGTCGCTATATCTGGACATTTCGCTCACGAACGCCTGATATGAACGCCTCGATATTTTTTGGCCTTAATCGCCGCATGGCTGATGGACTAGCAGAAATTGAATGATGTTATTATGACGTCATGAATGCTAAGGTGACTTCCAGATACTCTCCCCATTTTCGCGGGTGTGTAGGTCAGGAACTAGACGGGCTTAGGTCTTAAGAAGGGCGGAATTAAGAATAGCACCGAAAGGACTTTAGGATGGCTATTTCAGTTCAAACTCCCATATAAATGTGGAACACTCTCTTGAACTGGTATTGGATACATATATGTAAGGTGGCTTCTGCTTAAGTGATAGGATCAGCAAAAAATTGAGGCACTATGCAGAAGCCTGTGGTGTATTCTCTTGATTCATGCCCTGTCCTTCAATGTTTGCCAGAAGTTTTCTGTTCGTGCTTGAGCAGTGCTCCAAAGAGTTTGCCTTAGCTCGGGTCCATTGTTAAACGACTGTCACGTGTTCGTGCTTTCGTCACGGCCGCGTTTTGATCGTTAGCCTTATGGCCGAATTTAAGAGCAAAAAGGGTTTTATTTTTCAGGCCTTCGGTGTATGTTGGGGTTGAAAGCTGCTTTAAGGATTCCGAATTTCCTCCTCGTTTTAGCAATATCAAAATAAGAAAACTGTGCTAAAAATCCTTTTTCTTAAGCTTGTAGTCGGTAAATGGTTCCTAACGGCTTGTAAATAGATACAAACAGCAAGTTAGTTTTGAGCTTGTAGCTATAACCAACCGCATTTTTTAAAAATATATGGAAAACAAGATGAAGGACACTGCGATGGACCATATTCACACACAGGTATGCAGCTTAGAAATTAATACACCAAACTGACGCCAGACAACACGAGGAGCGTGGAGCGCTGAGACTTCACAGTGCGACGACACCCATCCACGACACGGCAGCGGTGCGTGCGAGCGAGCAGCGGCCACGCACCGGGCTCTGGTCTCTCTGCTGCGTGGGAGCAGACAGAACTCTGTTGCTGCGGGTGGCGATGCTACCACATCCTGGATACCGTGGTGGCCTATCTAGCAGACTCGGGACAGTTTGGTGTGATATTTCTGTCAATTCTGGCTTGGCAGTCTCATGTGTTTGTCATGAGGATTGTTCCGAGAGAAAAACATTATTTATTCGAAAAGAATGGCGCCCTTGCTGAGAAAAGTGCAAATAGTTGTTTGCATGCCAATGATATGGGCTGTGGTATTTGCTCCTGAGCATTGAAAAGACCGGGAGATTTAACGACCGGATTAATTTCGACAATTTGTTACACTAAATTTTTTAAAAAAGTTTTCACTAAATTTGCATCGCCAGTACATTTACCGCAATGACTTTGTTGTACAATGTAATGGTCTATCAGCGCAGTCAGGCTGCAAACATATAGTTACTTGCCTAGCTGGTCAAGTAAATAAGACGATTCAAATTATATTAGTGTTCGTTTGCAGTCTCCAAGCATCAGCAACATTCAGAGATCATTTTAACCAAGTTACGTAAATAAGCATCATTCGCATTCATCTACACATACTCATCAAAATGCTCCCCAACAGCTGTGCCTTCAGATCTACACCAAAACGTCTACACATCGATCTAAGGCCATCTAGCGCGGGCAAGAAAGCAAAACGACAACATCCTACCGGTCATATTTCTCCAGCAGCCGTTCGTTCTCACGGTGAGCTGTTTCCTTCTCCTCTTGCAGTCGGGATATGAGCAGCTGATTCTTCTCCAACTTCTCCCGCAAGTGCTCTAGCTCCGAACTCTTGTCCTCCTTCTCTATCTGAAAGTGGCTTGGTTAGAGTGCAAAACTTTTGCCTAGGACAATGCCTACAACAGTGAGGAAATGTAGCCTCGGGACGTGTTTTGACCGCACAGACGCTCCATTGACCACTTCCGGGGCGTACACGACAGACAGCTACGACAAGCCCTTGACAATCTATCAAGGCTGCGTGTTAATACACGGCGTGGTGTAAGGTGGAATACACGCGCATATCTCAAAATACTAAGCCATCCTTTGTAAAATCTGGCTGATTCGGTCAGTTAAGGCGCCTTTGCATCTTCCTTTTTTATCAAACGTATCGGCTTTAGCTCCAGATGTGACAGCTAATCATTGGAGCGAATATAAGTCGCATTATAAAAACAACATTGAGCGGAAGCCAGCACCACAGCGATGCAACTGCGCAAATTGTAAAATATTGCACAATTGAGGACTACAGATGCACGCAGCACGCGCAGATCATGCCATGGAACGATGAAACATGCCTGCAGTTTCTGGATGAGGGCGGAATTTTTGTCGAGCTTCTCTCGGAGCAGGTCCATCTCGGTCTGCACGCTGTCCCTGTCTCGCAGCGCCTTGGCTTGCTGGGTCTGCAGCAGCTCCACACGCTCCGACTGCTTCAGTAGGTCCACTTCCACCGTCTCCTTCTCTTTCAGTATGCGCGACAGCTGACCCTGTCAACCCAAGATGTGGGCGTGGGCGTGACGGCAGGCGTGGACGAGTCGAACACGAGCTTGGAGTGGAGGCAAAGGCGGCGACGCGGCTCGAAGCACACGCTGCGACACGTATGCGGTGACCAGTCCGGGACCTTCGCTTATTGTCATCCTACCCTCATCGCACGCTGGGTCCGCCCCTGCACGAGGACGCCGGCTGGTGCCACCGTCTACACTGCGGGTAAGGTTGGCCCAGAGCTAATGAGCCATGCCCTTTGCTAGCGCTTGCTGTCCGTCCGTCTGCGATGCCCCGCTCTTACTGTCAAACGCCGCACAGGCTGGGACTCCGAGCCGGTCGTTAATCCGCGCCCATCTTGGCAACCGGATGCAAACCCGACAAAAACCGACACTAATCAGTTAGCAAAATCGGGCTGCAGCATCCCCCGAACGACCGGAAAATGTCCATTTCTTGGGCTGACAAAACATGGCATGAGTTCCTTGGGTAAGCATCAAGTTGCACCCGGGGCTGGCTAACATCCATAGAAATAGCCGCGTTTGACAGTCCTACCCGAAGAGCCTGAGAACCTCGATACATTATGGGGAGGTTTCTCCAAATTTCGGTAAGCACGACGAGAACCCATAGTACTCTGCATCATCTTGTGGACTTATGGCGTGCAGTCGATATAAGGCCAGCAAAATCGACAAGCCGATCAGGACATAGTTTTGAAAACGTGTGCATTGATACATTGGAGTATCGGCCGCAAGTCACGTCATAGGGCTGCCCGCCAAAGACGCTATGGTTTATGAAAGAGTAATACGCCTAGACTAAGTGCTCAGAGAGCGTGTTTGATAATATGACATTATTAAACGTCTTGATCGCTGCTGCTCTGTATCCCGTGAAGAAAGATGGGTATGATGGGCATATGATGGGCATCCGAAACGTATGCTGCTCCCACCATTCTTATTAGGGGATAACTACCTTTCACCCATAAGGGCAACAACCATGAGAGCATTTGCTTGTTTTCACGAAGCTGTCAAGCTATATAGCACTAGCTCCGCAACCGCGGAAAGCATTGCGTGACCAGAATAATTCATGCGAATGTGGTCCTCGGATTAAGGGCCCACGTAATGAGTACTAATTACAGAAGATGGCAGATACGCACACATTGCAGTTTAAAGGCTAATTGGGGCACGTGCGTCTGGGTCATGGAGCAGCTAGGCGAGCTGGACTTCTATCCACATATTTCGAACGCTGCGCCATCGAGGCAAATTGAGCAGAATATTCCGATCATTGCGCCGCTGCGACATATCTTTACACTATCAATTGTCATGCACCGCACCTGCCAAGGACCACATCTGAACGGCGCAACATACACATTTCAGTCCGCATAGAGCTCGTGAAAATGTTTGCGGAAGACCTCGATTTTCAGTGACTACAAAAGTATTTCATAACAGTGTGCTTCTATACGCTGTACGAGCAATGGAGCTCGACTGCACTACACTTAAAGTTAATTAACACCAATCCAACCGACTCCTCAGACACCATTTTCCTGTTTCAGAAGATAGGCGCATCCGACAGCACGCTGAGAATCCGCCCGGCGATTGCATTCTCAGTCTGAGCCATGCGTCCGCCGCCCCGTCCGACGCAGTTTCCCGCCAGAGCGGCGCCGCCAACCACCAATCCCGGCCGAGATAGCCGGCGCGATAGCCCGCGGGCATATCTGGCGACGCCCGGCGCCATCAGGCCGCCGGCGCCGGCCCGCCCACCGGCGACGACCCGGCCGCCGGCAGCGGCCGCGCCTCGGGGCCCGCCCGTCCCGCCTGGCGCACTCGCCCGCCAGCGTGCACCGCGCACGGCCGAGGCGCGGCAGAACAGCGAACCCGACAGCGTTGTTTGACAGGTCTTGTTATTTGGCGCTGGTGCTGCTACTGCCTGTCCCACGACGGTGGGGCAGCCAGCCCCAATGTCAAAAGGTGCTACCCTACGACGCTTGATGAATGATGCAGGTCACCAGACTAGGCGCACACTGTGAATGAATATTTCAAGCATGGCACAATGTACAACATGAATTATAGTCCATGCGAAGGCGCTAATGCACGAAACCGAGTATTTATGTTGTTTTGTGAGCACAGCCTGCTAAATTTATCATCCGTGAGAAGGCGTTTGTGGAGAAAACCGTGTACTGAAGTGGTTGCGTGTATGTGGCCTGCTAATCTTGTCTTGCTCAATCAGAAATCGTTCATAGTTAGGATGTTGGCCAGCTCGCGCTCATTTTTAAGCCGGCTGCCCTAAGCATTGCCGATCAATGACAATATCACGATTAATTGCAGATCAACGGCCCAAACAATTCTCTCCTTCCTTCAGCCTATGTCCACTTCATCAAGTTTCGTTAATCGAAAAGCTGCAGCTACAGTTGTCCGCAAAAACATCCAGCTGTGTATGACAGCAACGCCAACACGGCACCTTTGCGTATCAAGCCTTAAGCCATCAATACATGCAAAAAGCGTGCTGTAGCCCGAACAAAGTCACTGTCTATGGACAATTGGCTTGCGAGCCAAATGGCAGGTGATCGAAGCACTTACGTCACACACACACACACACACACACACACACACACACACACACACACACACACACACACACACACACACACACACACACACACACACCACACACACACACACACACACACACACACACACACACACACACACACACACACACACACAGCGCTTCGTCATCCAGGTCGATCAGAGGGAACGCATGCTGACTCCATTGCGCATCCCCCCCCCCCCCCACACACACAACAGTCATGACCTCAGCACCTATCGTCGGCGCGGTGCCCAGCTGACCCACAAGGGCCTCTCCCGTCGTGACCCACATCCCGCCCCGCCCCGGGCGGCCGGCTGCGGGCGGGGGCGCGCCGTCGACCGCCGGCGCCGTCGGAGCCCAGTTAACTCGGTCGACCCGGTGTCTGGTCGATACGCTGACTGCCCCGCCCGCCGCCGCCCGGCGGTAGCGGACGGGGAGGCGCCGCGCGCGACGCCGCCGGCTGATCCAACACTCCGGGGGGGCCAATGACGGTCCTGCGGGCCCCCGTGGGGCGCTGGGTGAGACCCGCGTGACGCGGCGACACACGGTGCGGCCGCGCAGAGCGGCGACACTCCGGGTGGCGAGCGGCGGGGTGAAGCGACACTCAAGGGGGCGACCGACAGGGTGAGGCGACACTCAAGGGGGCGACCGACGGGATGAGGCGACACAGGAAGAGGTAACGCAGCTGAGCTGCTGAGGGCGGCGGCAGGCCGCGCCGTGAGCGCTGGGCGTCGGGCTACAGTCTGTAAGGTGGGCGAGCTCGGCCACCGTCTGCAGGGTGGCCGAGTCCGGCCACCGTCTGCAGGGTAGGCGAGCCTGGCTACAGTCTGCAGAGTAGGCGAGCCTGGCCACAGACTGCAGGGTAGGCGAGCCTGGCTACGGTCTGCAGGATGGGCGAGCACGGCCACCGTCTGCAAGGTAGGCGAGCCCGGCCACCGTCTGCAGGGTGGGCGAGGCCAGCCAGAGCTGCAGCAACGCCACGCGCCAGTGCCTGGCGGCCAATCAACAAACACGCGGGCCGGACACCAGTTAGGAACCTAAATGCACTGGAAAGCCACGTTTAGAAACATAAACGTAAGAACTAACGCGCCATGGGTGGGGGTGAAGGGAGGGGACGCGAATACTGTCTGCACATGAGAGAATTTAGCACTAAGCTAACGACAGTGCACAAAAGGGAACAACTTTTAGTGCCTCTGAACTTTCCCTTCCCCTACTCTTTTTTCATCCCTGAAAAGCACATAGAATGGGCATGGCGAGAAGGGCAATGCACATGCCGTTATACACAATGTTTTGGCTACCTGGCCAATACAAAGCACTTATTGCTAAACAATAGCAGCCCAGAATTTTCGAGGCCTCCCCACCTGGAAATAAAATAATCCGGAAAGGTCTTCTAACCGGAAAGACCAACTGGATTTTGAAACTTGGATATTGTCCTACTTAGCCGCCGAGCAAATACGCGGAGAAAAGGATGGTGGGGACAGCAAAAGACGGCGTTCTATGGTCCAGAGCTCATTTGAACCCGAAAGTGGGTCGTTCTTATCATCGAGGCACAGCCTCATCGCTGCCTGAACGAACAGCACCCGATGAAACCTTCAAAGGACCAGAAGCCCGCCTTGGTCTGGAGGTTCGGGGATTGGGATGCAATATGGGCACCCAGTGAAGAATAAAAAGATATACAAAAACCAGGCAAAGCTCTTTGAAACAGAAAGCTTTTTATTCCAGCTTCCAGAGGTGTCCGTTGCATATCTCGATCACGGCTCAGTCCAGGTGGTACAGCGTTCACCCACGACCGACGCGGAAAGACGCGTGTTAGAGCCTGGCTGCCGGTCCAGAGTTACGTCGTTTCCTGCAGTAATCAACGTGATATAATGCGACCTCGAATCTTTCCAGACTTCTGCAAGTGTGCGTCCTTTCATCCTGTATCCCGTATTGCTTTTTAGCATACATATTTAACACTTTTTCTCGGGTGCACTTTATTGGCACCGCAGAACGTAAATACCCACGTGAACATAGCACAGAACATTAAACACCAAACATAAGCGAGCAACTGTATTCCTATCTGTGAGAGTTGCATATGCCTATAACGGTACTTCTAAAAGGTTCTCGGTGTGGTGTACAACCTTTTCGTTAAGGTTAATACAAAATGAGTTGGAAACAGCTGGCTGGATCCAGGTTATAAAGCATAGAATAGAAACATAGCTGAATAAAAATCTCCGAGCATGGATTCACCCTGCCTGCAGTCATGACAGCGCGGATATGAAGCAAATACATTTTATCATCAAGAATTGATTGATCCATTCTCCTTCTGACTTTACTTTGAATAGTCTGCGCAACTGCACTTTGAATAGTCTGCGCAACCACCCGTTTGCATAGTCCGCGCGTGCTCAAAACATGTGTTGTTCGGATTTGGTTGGGCACATTCCAATGCTACTGCGCCAATCACGCAGTGCAAGTCCACTTCGCCACATTTTTTCTTCCGCTGTTTGGCTAGAGGGGACTGCAAGGACGGCGTTGTGCTGTCATAACGTGCACCGGATGGCTGCCATCTGGGATTCGGTATCTCCCAGGCCATCTCTGAACTCGACTTAGCACATTTGAAAGTTGTGCCAATGACGAACCTCGTGAAATCTCGTGAAACCCTGTTTCGCTTTTGTTATATTATGATCATCGGTATTTACGGCCCCGGGTTTTGGCTTCGGGAAAAGAAATAGAGCTTACGTTAGCGAGATGAAAATATTGAAGATATACGGATCAACCAACAAGCGAGCATGAGTACTGAGAGGCCCAAGCATCAGGGTGGGGCAATACTATTTTTTTGAAAGTGCAAGGTCCATCTCCTAAAAAGATGTGCTAACTTACCAAATGAAATGTATGAAATTCATATCCCTGACCAGCGTGGGCATGGGCGCCCCGTCACCATATGAAGAGTTGCTCCGTGCATCGGAGGTTACAGTCTCCCGTGATGCGGCGGCGCTGCAGTCGGTGATTACACCAGGCGACACCCGCCGCGCGGGAAGGGGCAATAGGAACGGCGCTTAGGCGCTGCTGAATCCAACGAATCACCAAGGAGGGGCCATCCGAATTCATGAGGGATCTGGCCTGATAAAGGACCGCGCCGGGCTTACCGGGCCACACACATGCCCACGTCTATACCAAACCGCATGTGCCTTGAGCCTGCTGTGCGAAGGTGCCATCAGCCAGCTCATCGCTGGAGTTACGCTCCGGCATACAGCGTCAAAACCCACACACCCTCACGGCCAGTGCCAGCCGGCTGAAGGGGCTGACAGGCACAAGCGTGTTTCTGTTTCGTTGATGCCGGGGCGGGGCTAACCGCATCGGGCCCACAGTAAGCGTGCAAGGGGCGCTGGTGAGATGACAGGTCACGCACGACCTCCGGTGGAAGCTGACAGATGTGGGCGTGGGTTGACGGTAAGCGTGCAAGGGGCGCTGGTCAGATGGCAGGTCACGCAAGACCTCCGGTGGAAGCCGTTTGAGAGATGTGGGCATGGGTATGGAGTCGACCACGGGTAAGCGATGAAAATCTTCGCATGAATTCTGACGAAGGGGGCCTTTCAATGACGTTGGCGCACTGGTGCCATGACCGCTGTCGAAATGGCTGAGGAGGTACCTGCGGAGCAGTTAGGGGCGCGGCCAGGACTTCCTTAATGAAGGTGGGGGGGGGGGGGGAGGGGGAACTGGAGCTACGCAAGAGCGCATTATGCTAATTTTAGATTTTCTGGCATCTCAGTCATCTTGGGTGGACAAGAAACACAATGTGGGTATTAGAAGTGGTGCCTCCTCTTTCTTTACCTGAGCCCGTGGGAACAAGAAAAGATCAGCCTCACGAATGTTAAGACCGCCAAATCACGTCGAGAGAGCAATCGAACAATACGAGTGAAACTTTAAAAAATCAGATAGCTTTTCACTTATTGCCAATGAAACTACGAAAAAATGGATTAAATAAGTTGTTGAGTGCATTTGCGAGTAACCTTATTTAAGTAGATAAGACAAGTGAATTCAGGTCTGCTATTGTTGCGATAAAGGCATATTGACGAAGAATCAACACATCCATATCTCCATTCTCCTGATTTTCCTCCAAGAAAAAAGGCTATTATTTCTGTTTTATCTGTAAAAATGAATTAAAGGGAATTTAGATGATAATCAGTTGGCGGCCGACAGACCTAGGCCTCGTTTCGACCCAAAGCGGTCATATGCATCCTAATAAGTACGTCTCCTGCGTGCCTGATACAAAAGGGGTCTAGAAACAAGTCGCGGGACTGAAGCCAGTTATTCCAAATTTCATTCTTGCTGGCCTTCACCTTGGCCTTTGGCTTGATGAAAAGGTCGGGTCACAATTGGTTGACTTCGGAGATGCCAGGGAGGTAGCGGGTCAGACCCCTCCCCCCCCCCCCCCGTCATGCAGCTGCAGGCCTGGACACTCTAGTAACAGTTGGGGAACTCTTCAAAACAAATGTTTTTAGTTAAAAATGTTTGCAACATGATTAAGTGCTTAATGTTCATTGGGCGAGCATTTTCTCCGTTTCTTTTTTGGAGCTAATGCTAAGAAAGTGTTTAGGTAGGCCTCATTGTTGCTTGTTGACATTTATGAACACTCAATTAAGATTGAAAGCATAGAAAGATCTATCTTTTACCATGAATGTTCTGCAAGCGGTGGACAACTTGCATTTACCTTGAGTATTTATGAATGTGAAGGCCTGTCGACAATACAATCCATTTACATTTTTCGTAAACTTGTGTTGCTTCGCAGCGTGCACAATACATGTTGAAACGGCTGATCTGGTCCGAAGTAACAAAGAAAAACGTATTTATTGCATAAGACGGGATTAAAAAGAAGCGGCGTATTGTTGTTACTCTAATTACAATTAATATTTTGTTGTTTGGTTCCCAATTTATCCATTAAGAGATCTGGTTCTGGTCTTCTCTCGACATGTACCTTTTTTATTTACTGCCGGCTCTGACGATTCCAGCCGATGGACACTCCACTTCGGCTCTAAACCCCTGTTTTTTGCAAAAATCGATGCGTCATTGGCTTCTTGACGATTTTATCGATTCTGGAGGCAATTCCGTCTTCAATCATGGATCACGTGACAGGCATGATCAACGCACAAGCACTGGTGATGTACTGGCCAAATGCAGTAAATATGGGCCATGAGTGTAATGGCTTCCGCCATGAGGAAGCCGTATGCTCTTACGCTTATAATGCGACTACGACCACCATAAAGTTGCTCGAGCGGAGGCACGACATTATTAGGGAAGCCCCTGCGACTGACCTGCGTTTTGTCCTGCTTGTCTTTGAGCTTGTTGAGTTCGGTCTCGACAGCCTCCTTGTCCCTCTGCATTCTGGTGGACTGTCCGAGGGTTTTGTCCACTTGCGCCTGCAGCAAGTCCATGTCGCAAATCGCCTTCTCACGCTCTGCCTGAAGCTGAAAATTGCGCATCCATTAATACACAAATCAGGGTTTAAATAATGAACAGAGGTGCAAACAACACAGGTGTCTGCAGCTTCCGACGCCCTCGCCAACTAAATCGAGTGTTGAACTCACTCACTGTGGAAACAACAAGGCAGTTGTGTGATATTTGGGGTTGCATGCACATAATATACCCGCCTTTCTAATTAAGTGCAGGGCTTTATAACACAGCCCTCTTAAATAAAGCATGTCAGACTATTTTGCACGTGTGCCGGAACCGAACAGTCACGGACAGAGGGTGCCAAGGCCGACACATGTCCGCCGGGGTCACACGTACCCGCCGGAGCTCGCCGGTTGTCCGGTCCAGCTTCTCCTGCAGCTGGTCCAGGTCCATCTGCGCCTTGTCCAGCTCGCTCTGCGTCTTCTCCTGCGTGATTTGGGCGCGGCCCAGCGTCTGCTGCGACCGCTCCAGTTCCTCTTTCAGCTTGTCGGCTTCTGTCTGAGATCGGTCCTTCTCGGTCATGATGCGGGCCAGGATCATCTGAGAACGGTCGTGCTCCTCTTGCAGACAGTCCTTCTCCGACTGGGCGTTCTCCAGGCGCGTCTTCAGCCGGTAGATCTCGCCGGACGACTTCTCCACCTTCTCCTGCAGCTGCTCCACCTCCACCTGGACGCGATCGTTGTCGTTCTGGTACATGCGCAGCTCGGTCTGGGCGCGCCGCAGCTCAGCCTGCGACTTCTCCAGACGCTCCTGCAGTCGCTCGATCTCCAGCGAGGCGGCCAGGCTGCCACTCATGTGCCGCTCGCGCTGCGGGTTGTACACAGGTGTGGTGGAGCGCTCCCAGTCGCGCGGGTCGCGCTCTCGCTCCCGGTCCCGGTCCCGGTCCCGGTCCCGTTCCCGGTCGCGGTCTCGGTCTCGGTCCCGCTCGCGCTCGACACGCTCCCGCTCTCGCTCCATATCGAAGCGGAGCCTGTCGTTCTCGGCCCGCAGCCGGTCGACCTCCAGCTCGAGTTTGGTCATCTTCTGGCGGCTCGACTCGAACTCGTGACTCCGGCTGCCTGCGTCACCCTGCACCTTGTCCAGCTCTGCCTTCGCCTTGCCCAGCTCTGACTGCGATGCCTCCAGCTTGGCTTCCAGCTTGGCCTTCTCGGTCTGCGCGCGTTCCAGCCGCACCTGGAGCTTCTCCAGCTCCGTCTCCAGCGCGTGCAGCTTCATCTTGTACTCGGCCAGCTCGCGCTCGTGCAGCTCGCGCTCCTGGGTGCGGTCCTGCTCTGCGCGGTCCCTCTGGTCCCGGAGCTGCGTTATCTGCTTGTCGCGGTCGCTGATCGCCTCCTCGAGCGAGCTGAGTGCGCCCTCGGAGGAGGTGTGGTGCGCCTGGACGGCCGTCAGCCGAGAGCGCGCCATATCCACCTGGTTGTCTTTCTCCTTCAGCAATTCCTCCAGGTTCTCCACCTGAACAGAAGTTCTCGTCAGTCAGTATCCCGGTCAAATGAGTCGTGACTGCGTGTCTTCCGCCCGTAAGTGGTGGTTGAAGTCTGCACCAAGGCTGCTCGTGACGGCATGGCGGCATTTGAACTGAAGTCACGAAACCTGCCAGACTCGTTTCAGAGCGGCATTGCATGGAGAATGCCGGCGAGTTGTGCTAGTTGAGGGCTATCACAAGAATTAGAAGGCCAGACCCAGTTCTATAAAATGGAACTCATGGATTATGGCTGCCGGGTGACACGAAACCAATTTCCATACACATTAAATTAATTCCGTGAATTACACATGATGGGAAATGTATAGCTGAGGGAAACGGTTGACTTCGGAGCCTCGTGCAAACTCGGGAATGGCCGTTCCGATGTCCAAATTGCCTCTGACATTCACGTGGACCCAACAGGCCGTAGACACCAGGGCGGAAAATCAGGGCTCGTTTCAGCCCGGGCACGGACCTTGCGCTGCAGCACGTTAATCTTGCGCTCCTTGATATCGAGGTGGTCGCGAGTCTCGTTCAGTTCGCTGCTGAGGCGACTCCTCTCTTGGCCGGCCTGCAGCGCCGCCTGCGTCTTCTTCTCGATTGTTCTGTTCTTCTCCTCCAGTCGCTGACGCAGCTCCTCCACCTGGAAGCCACGGCAGTCATGACGTCACTGAGGCATGCTCAATACGCAAAACAGCCGGAACGTATCGGCTGCCAGACGTGACAGTGCTGTCAGACGTGACGTCACTGAGGCATGCTCAACACGCAAAACAACCGGAACGTATCGGCTGCCAGACGTGACAGTGCTGCCAGACGTGACGTCACGCATATATTACCTTCATGGTTACATGGTTACATGGTTACATTAGCTGTGACGCCGCAGCTAAGTCAGCGCTGAACACGGGCGTGGCCACTTGAAGGGAGCGGTCCACATTTACGTGGGGTTTTTAATTGAAAACGCCATTTTGAAAACCTTTCGGTGCTGTTCACAGCCCTGTCCTTCTTAAGACATGGGCCCCTCTAGCTTCTGAGCTACACGCGCGCGAAAATGGCGAAATGTGTACCGGGAGAGTATTCCAAAGTCACCTAGTCATTAATGACGACATAATCATGTCATTCAAATTATGTTATTTCATGAGCCGTACGGCGATGAAAGCCGAGAAAAATATAATGGTCGAGCCGTTCATTTTTGACGTTTGACAGCACGATTTCTTGATATAGCCTACAGTCAACTGGCTTTCAATTCATGTTGTGCAACGAACAATGACATAATCATGCCATGACACAATGAGGAACATATCTACTGAACAGAGAATTGTGCTGTCTAAAGCAGTCTTTTCCACTTAAAAAGTATACCAATAGTTATATGTTAGCAGGTTTCATCAGATCTGATGCTTGTTTCCACATCTTCAAATGTGAAACATGTCCTTTAAAGGGAAGGGATGCACCAACGAAAACGCGCTTAACTTTCTGTCAGAAAAAAGTGTGATAGTCAGCTTACTGTATTGTGTGGTTTATCATAAAAGTGGTGTCACTGGAGATAATTATCGCTGAATGAAGCATAAACAGTGACTTTGTGAACTGTTTCGTGGAGAACCTTATCGCGATTTCGTACTATCTTACGGATGTCAGTGCATGTATTTCCCCAACATATGACCATTTCTTGTTATACTTTTTGCAAGTATAACTAGTAATTGGCTCTCAATCATTGTTGTGCAGGCTGCGCAAGTTCCAATCAAGAGTCACGTTTTGTGCTACACAATACAAAAAGTTGGACATGGGTATTAGTTGTTACGGAAATAAGACTTGTAATGGAATAACTGAAGAAAGCGCCATAACTGTCTATGTGAATACAAGTAAGCACCTTGAATTAACGAACAAATATGTAGTAACACTACGAGAAAGGACACAGATCAATATTTGGTTGATTAAATATCTTCAGCACCCCCACGGCCACCTCTCGGGAGATTGAAGAGCTACAAGTGAGTGCTAGGGTGGCAACTTCGCACGGCCAGTCTGGCATCACCTCAACGTCATACAGACATTCCATGACGCAAAACAAATGGCTTATTGAGCAGCATATTTCCTGAAAAAAAATTGTGCTGGTTTGAGCAGTCCGTGTCATTCAAAAGTTTACTAACAGTTCTAAATTAACTTGTTCCATCATGCCTGATACTTCCCTCGATATCTTCGAGTGGAACATTCACCCTAAGTGATAAGGACTAACACCGTTGGAGATGACAAAGCCTCCTGCGATTTCTCCCTATACATTGTTTGCATTTGTTTCCGTATGATGCACTGATGGACAAACAACGGTGCTCAAATCTGAGAGAAGTTACAGGACACAAGCCGCGCTGTTTTCTGCCGCAGCAGCAAAACATCGTTGCATTTTCTCATTCGCCGCTGGAGTCTTCCTCTCCCCCAGATCAGCAGCAGACGCAGAAATACGACCGGCCGGGCTCATCTAATGCAGGTCAAGGGCGCCGGGGAGGGATCTGACAGCGTGCCAGACGCCGGGCGAGGCGTGTTGCTTCGGCCGCGCAACAGTCCGGACCTCCGCGGCAGACAGAACATCCGGACACACATGACCAGGCCCGACACAAGCGCGGAAACCGCCGCCAATGGCTAGCTGGGCGAAGCTTCGCACCAGCGATTGGGTGCTTCGCGAGGGCGTGGCCTGGGCACGATAGATGCGCGGGTGTTGGCTGTGTATTGACTCAATGGGGGTTTCTATCTCTCTTCCCTTCTTACTTCACTCTGTTTCTCTATGTCTTTCTGATTCCATCGAAACGACCAAATGAAAAACGATCGAAAGATCTGAGACCGCATAATCCGCTGCACACTCACGTCGGCCTGCAGCATGTTGTAGTGCTCCTCCTTGGCGCAGAGGGACTCCTTGAGCACGGTGATGTGTCGCTGATAGTCATGGTGCTGCTCCTCTAGCGTCTTCATTTTGGCGGTCAGGGCCAGGATCTCCTGGTCACGGCGTTGGATCTCACTCCTGGCATCGTCGAACTGCCATACCGCCAGGCGGCGTCAGGAGGAGCCGCGTCAGTCCACCAGGTCAGCTTTGGTTTGTGCGTTACGGCAGTGAGTGCCCTGTAGCGGTACTTCTAGCATGTGAAATACAGTGGTCTGGGTCACAAGGATATGGCAGAAGCCAAGGCGTAAAAGCTGGAAATATTGTGCCCGTCTAGGACTGATTTCATGATCAAAGGCTGCTTTTTGGAAAAACCATTTTTTGTTCGATCCGCGAAGAGCAAAATTGAGGGCATTTCGCTGTGTGCACAATTCTTAAAACCTTTATCAAAATAAGTGGCGGGTGCCACTTAAGCCTAGACTTTGTATCTAGCGAAAGAGAAGAAATTATCCATCAAATGAGAGCATGCTGCCTTGGCGAAAAGTTTAAAATTCAATATGATGAGGTTGATCACCGATACCTGCTTTTGTGAGGCGGACTGAAGCTGTTGGTACATCAGACGCTCTTCTTCTTTGCCTGTAATATAAATATTATGAATATCCATGACTTAGAAGAGATACTAAATAATGCACTTAAACCGTTGACTTCACACTTTCGAAAGGCATACCGCACTCATGCCATCCATACACACTCGTGTTTCAAGACTACATCATGGCTCAGATGATACCAGTAATTTTGAGGGGTATGGGTGGCCTTAGGTTAAGGCTGCAGGTAGAATAACTCGAGTTGACATTTTATACTGCCACTCGAGTAGTGCCAGTACTCAGCTGCTGAGTGCTACAAAACCGTTGATCCGTTCAAGGTCGGTTCTCCCCGTCTAGAACCTTTCCCGATCGGCTGACACAACTCGCCGCGCACTGACACTGGTGCGCAGTGGCGCACAGTGGCGCAGATTGCGCGTCAGGATGCTCGTCCCGCGCAGATAATCGTGCGCAGTGGCGCACAGTGGCGCAGATTGCGCGTCGGGATGCTCGTCCCGCGCAGGTAAGATGGCGGCGGCATTCGATGCACTCTTTACTCATTGAGATGCAACTTTTGGCGATGAAAGAAGTCCTGGTCAGAGCAATAGGCACATGCAGTACTCAACTCAAATAGGTGCTGAATAGCCCGTTAACGATTTGTGATGCACTTTTGCACAAGCATACACAATTTGCTGCATTTCTACTGGTCACTGTAGGCGGTTATACCTACAAAGTACAGTTTTATGAACTTCAGATTGATTGCCTTGTCAATGGTGTTCATTTGCAAACGGATGTTCAAATTGGTGCAGGGTGTGAAAATGAAGACCATATGCTTAGGTGTGAATTGGTGCGGGTGGTGTCAGCCTGCAAACAAGCGTTCAAATCAGTCATCGGCGTGCGAGTAAACACCAGCAACGGGGTTAACAGTGTAGATAATTTTTTCATCAGATAACGAATCTCAATCTTGTGAGGTGGCTGATAGAATCGCTCATTGTAGTTATCGGCTGTAATTCACGAACTATATAAAAGCCCATTTTGAGCATTGTGGTTAATGGAAAACACTCCGACAATAGATGCATTTTGGAATGCAGTAGGCCCACAGTCAGTGTGTCCTGGTGTTAATACTTCAAGCCAAGGATTTTTTCCGAAGCAATTTTTCCAGGAGACGCATGACGCTGTGCACATGTAAGCAACATCGGAATGTCTGAGCGGGAGCCTGGCTGGGAACAAATAGGCTGCGACCCGATATAATGAGATCATACAAACGTGCACAGAGGGTTGTATGCTCTAGTTTAACATACTTGTGGTATGCCCTTCAACTTGGAAAGTGGTTTGACACAGTAAATCGCTGTTTTTAATGCATGCATACAGCTTGGTTTGTCAGATGTAAAATTTAGAGCTCTAAAATCTTACTTGAAGTTGAGCTAGAATTCCGGTTGAAAGCTTCCATTTACGGTAACTTGTCATCCATGTTTTGCTTGATTACGTCACTTTATCAGAACTGTTTTGCCTTCAGATTTTTACGAGGGTAGAAAATATTACGGACATCATTTCAAACGAATTGCGAGACAATCCACCAGATATTTCCCAAAATCCCGGAGGGAAGGCCTATCCAAAAACAACCTATCCCCACCAGCACAGAAGAAAGTTGAAATTGGTCACATTTCCGCCAATACACGGGAACCGTGTTTTTTAAAACCAATGAAATTTGCTTTATATCTGTCTGAATCATCAAAAAGATAACATTACTGGTACCCAACGCATGGCATTAAGCTTGAAATAAGAAATTGGTGTATCTGCGCTGGATGCCTGTACAGTTGATGTCACCTGAAAATATTTAGCATGTGTGATGGAAGCTTGGTTTTTTCATCTTTCAATGGGAAGAAGCATGAAGCTAACTGTTGGAAGAGTAGTTGGAGGGTGCTTAGCTCTATTTGAACACCCAAAAATTGTGTTACCAGAGATAGCACGTTACTTTTGGTCTTCTAACTCTAGACGACCAAAGTAAGTGAGAAAAGGTGTGAAGGGAAGCCGAGCAATCCAAATTTTTGAAGGTATCTTACAATTTGTTGAGTGAGCCGTGATGAAATTTGGACTGGCCAAGATCAAACCTTTTTTATTTGGCATGCAACTTTCAATTTTCTATCCCGTTAGGTCATAGAAACATGGCTTTGCTCTCGATAGTTGGAATGACAAAACGTTACAAAACCGGTGCCCGCAACGCGGCGTGGCACATTTGTGCGGCTTGCCTACCGGTTTTGAGCGCGTAGTGTGGCGACATAATGAGCGTCGTCAGTACTCGTGATCTTCGGAGGGGATATTCCAGACACAGCTCGGAAAAAGGTAAAACCTTTGACTGGCGTCAAAGTATTTTTAAGCCGTTATATCAGCAGGGAAAATTTATAGCGAATGCTACTTCTGACTTTTGTTGTCAGCGCAACAGTAGAACAAACACCAAGGGAAGTCCGTTCACCGCATCGTTTGGGTCATGCTTGGTTAAAACCATGTCAGTTCAAGTCTAGAAATCGCACACAAATTCGTTGCTGCACTTGAAGGTTGAAAGCACAAGCTGACCTAAGGTCAAAGGTTGTGGTTTGTAATAAAACAATCGCAGATGACTTCACGTTATTTTGTGACCCCTGAAAATAAATTATTATTGCTTTGACCTCGACGGACTTGAACGAGCTCTTCCCTCTGTGTTTTAGCAGACGCACGGTTTGACATCGCGGCTCGTCTTGACAGGTTAGTCGTCAGAGTTATTACAAATACGCTCGAAAGAGTTGCGTGCCACGGTAACGGCTCTTACAACGCCATCTGTTTGGCCCCAGCACACCGGGGCCGGCACGCAATCCCTTGGTGGCCATACCCCGCACTGGGAGAGCTGGGGAAGCCGGCGAAGACGGAGAGGCATGCATCACGGGCGTGATATTTATGGGCGTGACATTTATGAGCGTGACATTTATGGGCGTGGCATTTATATCAGGGGCATGGCGTCGTGTGAGAGTTATTCTGCGGGCACGCTCGGTGCAAATGGTTCCAACAGGAAGAACATAACCCCAGTAAGGCCTGCAGACGACGATCTGACCACAAACAACATGGTCCGTGTCCACTGCTCACGCGCTGAGCTTTGCCCCGGTGCTTGGTGGCTGCGTGGATGCAGAGTCTGAGTCAACCTTGACAACTGATGGGCGAAGGAATCCAAGGGCGGCGTCATCGCTGATGTGTCGAGATACCGTGATATCGAGATATGTCGTGATGTCGTGAGAGGGATTCCCAGCAGCTGTCACACCTGCGAAGACCCCACTGTGCGACTGATATTAGCTCTGGCGCGGTGTGAAGGTGAATAAGGCGAGATGACGGCGGCGGTGGGAGCCCGAAAGGAACATACGTGGCTTCGTCGCGCAATTTGCTTTTGCATTCACCGAAATGTCCTAGCAAGAGTAATGATTACCAAGCATGAGACACCTACGGTCACTAGTGAAATAATCTTTGACTCTCATGGTATCGAAGACGTCGTAACATTTGAGCGGAAGTACAGCTCACTGCCTGCTCTCTATAAACGATTACCTGAGGTAAATGGTACAATTTAAAATAAACACGCAATCATTACGAAAGTATCAGCCGCACTATATGCTGTGCACTTGTCAGACAAGATGAACTTACCCAGCCCTTTTGTCTGCAACATCTCCAGGAGTTTTTTGATGCTTTCGTCGCGGGCAAGGAGAGTCTGTTTCTGCGTGTCGATCCTGAGCTCGAGCTCCTGAAAATGAAATGAAATTATTGCCACCTTACTTTGACGAGCATATCTTCATGTGGGAAGTCATTGATTTAATTGGAGTATCACTGGAGGTTCATTATCTTTGTCAGCTAGCATATTTGCATTAACACGCGCCTGGGTGGCCGGTTGGATAGCCTTCGTTCGGGTGGAGGTCAATTTGACACCCCTGAGATCTCAGGAACTAAGAGAGCTAGAGACACAAAATTCATAGAGGGTGTTGGCCTGCACCTAAACGCACTTAGGTCAAAGTTTGAGTTTCCTAGGTCATGACCTTTGGATCAAATAGGGTCAAACAAGGCCAATCTCCAGGTTGGTCTCCAAAGCGCCCCCAGAACCTAGATACCTGTTTTAAGCAAAAGGTCACATGGTTATTTAGGCTCAGTGACCTTGTTTGACCTTTCAAAGGTCGTGCTTTTTCGAAGGACAACTTTAAGTTTGCATTTGAATAAGCGACACAGATTACGCTAGGCAATATGTTACTAAAAGCAAAATGCTGAGCCGGGTCATTCGAGGTCGGTGACCTACTCTGACCTTTGAAAGTGCATGGAAGATGCATAATACGATCCCTGGCATCAGTAAATTCGAAATGGGCACCAAAACCTACCCCATACTGCAAGCCCTAGGATAAAGGAAGAGATTGGATTGACCTTGATTTGACCCTCAAAACTGATCTTAGGTCGATGACCATTGTTCATTCAATTTTTACGTTGGCTAAGAAAGTATCTCAGAGATGTATGGTCTCGTCTAACACTCTGTTGTTGCATTACATTGAGCGACTCCCTAAAAGCTGGTTCGCAGAATCCATGGCCTGACCTTGACCTAGTAGCCGTAAGTTAGTGACCTCGCAGGATCCATCTAAATTTTACTGTCAAACGACCCGTCATTTAATTGTATATAGCTACGCAAAACTTGGCGCGGTACTTATTTTGGAACAAACTTAGCAGTGATAAATTTGTTTTCCACCCGAACGCGTGCTAATATGCAAAAAGCATAGTTTTTCCTTGCAGCGGCCGTTGCTTTCCAGACATAGGTACTTGCATAAGTACCAATATACGATAGCAGTAAGAAACGGTAAACAATAACGAACCGTGAGATTGAACAAACCTACAGTGCGATCCTGAAAATAGGCGGTCGTCCATTAGATATCGCCAAATAAAAGAGACAAGCATTCTGGAAGTTCACTCAATCCGTCGGCTGTATGGAGACAGTTCGGATATCTGTTGCTGGTAAAAAAAAAACGAAAAGCGTGTCACTGTTTACTTGCAATCGGCTTTACTGAGCGTGCGACTGCGGCATCGTCATCGTGACGTCATCGTGATGTCATCGTGACGCCGCTGGATTGCCTGATGAACTGGGCTCGCGTCACCGTAGGAGTCTTAAATTCAGTTCTGCTGGACCATCACAGCATTAATAAACGGTAAGGAGCCTCATATTTTAAAGGGCAAGTTGTCATTCGCTGGGAGCAAAGGGTACCAGCATACCTGAGGAGGGCGAATTACTGTCGTTAATAATGTGGTGCGATACCAACCGCGCAATGCATTGTTCGATTTAATCCCAATGCACTGAAGTCGTGACGGGTGACTTAGCTTTCAACGATGTGAACAAATATTTAGTTGGCGAGCATGGGTCAAGTCTCAGTAAGGTAAGTAAGTCCCTTTTCATCACATTTTCCTAGGACCCATCAAGGGTGCTTATTACGGCAGTAAAATGCATGACATAATCTGGACAACAACAAAAAACGAGATAAACTGGATGCTATATGTCTTGTGCAAGCCTATGTGGGAGATCTTGGCATTGGTATTTTTCTGGATTTGTTGGTTCATCTGCCCAGGGTTTGCTGGCGGGGAGACATTTTGACCAACATGACGGGGAGATTTCCATTGGGCTGTGCCGCCTCAGGCGCCTGCTCGTGCTGCAGAAAGGTACAGAGGTGACAGATGGACGCGGCGAGCTAAATGAAAATGTTCGTCTCTGTATCATTTTGTTCCCACGAAGGGTAGCAGCATTGACAGACAAAGCTACAAATCGTCATTGGCGAAGCCGTGTTGCTCATTCAAGATTCGAGCGAGAAGTCAGACGAGAAGACCTGATGAGTGGTGTGGGGTGACTAGTCGCTGGCTAAGTTCACGTCAAAACGGAGACAAGTGCAGCTGTATTCCGGCAGCTGCTAACCGACGGGTGACCAGAGGTTGTCATGGCTACGCGGGGAAGCAGCCCATCTTGACTGAAGAACTCGATAGCATGCTCAAAAAAGCCTTTGGTGACAAAGAACGTACTACCAAAGCTCGAACGCTTATACGTGGTTGGATCTTTTAGATGCTGCTCGACACTAACCAGAGACTGTAAATGTTCGGACATTTCATGTCGTCCATGGCCACGGACTGGCAGCCTGAAGTGCAGTACTCAGCGTTTGGCGCGCGCGCCGTCTTGCCAGCATGGCGCTGTGGCTCTTGTGCTACGCCATGATGATAGTTCAACGGTGAGTACAGACAGTGCGTGGTCGTCTTATGTTGATCGACCGGGAGAAAAAGCTGACTTGCTCATTTGCCGACTTCACGCTGGACAAAAGGGCCTTCCACATATGTTCCAGGAACGTGGTGGCGTATTGACGGAACTTCCATCGCATACAGGCCCAAGGATGAGACGTCTCCGTCAGTTCCAGTGCATGAACTCGTGTTCCACTGATACACAGAGCCTTTCGAGCCACCAGTGCTACTATGTCTCTGTGTTTCCAGCTTAAATCCAGTTGGGAAGTTAACCAGATCACAGGGCGCAGTCGGGGCACGGAGCGGGGCGTCAGAGTAGTGACCAAATCACGGAACGTCGTGACTGATGAAGAGTGACGGCTGGGGGCTTGGAATGTGTATGTGTGTTTTTAGCGGGACGGCAGCCGGATGGTCACGTCTACAATGCTCCGCAAGGGTTACTTTACAGTTTCAGTTGATCGGAAGTCGTCGAAATAGCCCAACGAAATGCTTAACGCGAATATATAAATAGGTGTATCTACGTGCGCTCACAAACGTGACCTTCATCATCATCTGCGTTGAAATGCTCCATTCATCAACCCTATTTAGCGCTTCTACAATAATGCGCGGGCAAAATAGGGTGCTAGCAAAAAGCCATTAAATCAGCTTGGTTGAGCAGATTACAACACGTATTAGGACTCTTGTTTTCATCAGTGAACGAATGAGTCGAGGTGCCCTCCAATGCGTGGCAGCACATGCGTTAACTCAATTCTTCCATCGACTGACGCGGCTTATACCTTAAACCTACGGCAAATTATTATTTTAATATCCATCGAGAAACATTTCAACCATCACATTCCATGACAATGTCTCCTGATACAGATGAACAGATGCCATCGGTGTTAGAGAATGATTTATGCGCTTAGCGCGTAGAATGCGAAAAAAGAGGATGATGAGGGTGGTTATATATGATGGCAGATAAAACAAAGCTACCCTTTTGTAAAATCCGCTTGAAGATGGGTACAATTAAAGTCCACGAAAGATAATTCAAGTGCTTGCCACTGATATTTTTCCCCCCAAAAAACAGCTTCTGCTTACGTTTGCGAGGTCCAGTATGATCCTAATATGTTCGGACCCTCCAGACTGAGAGCGGCAGAGCCGTGTCCGTTACCTTGATGGTCTCCTTGAGAATTGCGTTCTCTCGCGTCAGATGATCGTTCTCCACGTAAAACTGGTCCAGCTGCTGCTGTAGCTCCACGACCGCCTGGTTCTTGCCGCCTCGCCGGTGAAGCTCGTCTTCTAGCTGACGAATCAGGTTCACTTGTTTCTGAAATGAAAGAAACAATGTTACAGCACTAAAGCAGCCTGTTGCCTTCTGGGTCTGGGAGAATCAGGCAATAACTGGGTAAATCAAGACACGCTGACATATCCTCACAGGAAACGGGCAGAAGCCGTGGGTTAACTCAAGGCAACCCAGTTTTGACATTTGCGCCGTTTTTTAACTCAGTAGTAAGATATAAACGCTGAAAGAGAACATTACGGAGCCGTGCCGATCATCGCACAGCTTCCCCTGCCTTGTAGAATATCCTGTGGATACATACTTCTTTTAGGCTTCGCGCTGGTGGGGTTCATGCAAAGCTGACGTCCATGTGAACCGCTCGCATCTAGCCTTGCAAGGGCGGAGGCTCATTCGAACCACGTCATTATGAAGTCGACACGGGAGGTCTATGTGAATGCTAGCAGTCAGTGCGGTAAAAGAAATGACACGATAAGTGCCACAAAATACTTTCAGACACCTGGGCAGGCATTTGAGCTGGGCTCATGACAAGTTCGATATCAAGTACTACGTTGATTTCCGACATATTCTGAAGTCCCCAGGCCTCTCTTCTAGGTCAGTTTAGGTCAGTGTCACCTGAGGCCACTGACCTAGACGAGCTGCAGCGAGAAAATAGACTGAAACGTGCCCCAATGTACCGCCTGTTTTTAGTGACGTATTCTAGTCTGGTCACTGATTACCATGGCTGGCTTTTCCCTTCAGCAGTGTTTTATCGATATGATGTAGGTGACATTTGAAAGTTATCACAGGTCACCGACCGACATCGACCTTCGGTTCTGGTCATCACTAGCATGTGTGACGTGCAACACAAGATTAGCTTGATCTCGATGGCGTTCAACAACCTATGAGGGGCAGTTTCACACATAAATGTCATCACAAGTCAATGAGATTAGTTCGCCCTTAGTTCTCGTATCTGAAACTATGGTCCCAGATGCAAAGCATTCAGTTACTTTCATTTACTTACTTGTAAATGTCAGTATATATCGCTATTATTTACGTCGAAGCGTCGCCATATATAGGCAAATGGTCATAGGTCGTAGGTCTAGGTCAATGACCCTATGATGCATTTCGGGATACTTTGTTAAATCAAACATATATGTTGAAGGAATCTTCTAACTCTTTCCACGTTCAGCACAAGGGTCGATTTCCGGATACGGCTTATGTGGATATGTTGTAACATTTCCGGACGCGGCTTATGTAGATGTGTTGTAGCATTTCCGGACGCGGCTTATGTGGATATGTTGTAACATTTCTGGAGCTAGTACATGACCAAGGGCGTAAAACCTACCACTTTGGACTTGACTTCATTCGCACGAATTATTTATATCAGCCCTGTTTAACAAAGCCTATTTTATGGTGGTAAGATCTGAAGAACCCTAAGATCTTCCAGATCTCTTCAGACATATAAACTCTGGAATCTTCAGGAGTCTTCAGGAGCCAGAAGCCTTATTCCTCGGAAAAAATCAGAAGAATGGAAATATAGATATATAGAGAGAGGAGAATGGAGATATACTATATCTCCATTTTCCCGGTCTTTCTCCGAGAAATAAAGCTTATACTGCTATCTCATCTATGTGGATAATGTTCCTCGATAATGCACTGAACAACTTACGCTATTAAGAAAAGCATAAAGAGACATCCACCCCTCCAGGGAAGCAGGTCGTTCAGACCATTACATCTGTTTCGCTTGAACCTAGAAAAATGCAAACCATCCACAACGTGATTTGATACTTTCTTTAAAAAGCCACTCTCAGCGCCTCACCAGCCGTCTGTTGCATCAGATAGTCCCGGGATCGCAAGGCGGTCACACTCTCTGTGATTGGTGTAGCCAATGTCGTACGATGCTGCACTCGCTTCTCGTTGGTTAATAATTACATCATTTCCGTAACACGAGATTATGGCTAGTTTCCGATTGGAGCTAGTACATAAGGCGAATCGTTTGCTATCAGGTGTGCCCATATGTTCACAGACTCGAAGACGCATGGCTGCTGTTGGTTGTGCACGTGGACAGTAGGGTGTGGAGTGATGTTGGTGAATTCTAGGTTCAGGCTAATAGAAGCTCTATATTTGCCTAACTCGCGATAAGGACTGGCCTGAGCAATACAATCACCGGTTTAACTATCACGTTAGCAGTTAGAAATCCGCTACACCTATCTATAATCTGCAGGGCCTTTAAACGGTACGTTACCTTTTCAACTAAATATGTGCCGTTTCAGATTGCATGTCAGCTGATATCAGCCCCTAAAGTTTGATGTCACTTGGACGGAGCTTGGCCAGTGCGGCGACATACCTAAGTATGCACGGCACAACGATGCATGATCATATGCTCATCAATATGCATAGTTGCATGCATATTTACGGCCGTATGCGTCCGCGCGAGATCCCTACAAGGTCAGAGTTCCCGCCACCACCGCAGCCGGAAATGACATTCAGGTGACGATTTTAACAGAAATGGCATTCAGGTGACGATTTCAACAGAAATAGACGTCCGAAGAGAGCGAGAGACCCCAACGCGAAATACGGGAGGGCATAATGGCAGAATCAGACCAGAAGACTCCGACCAATGGAAAGGAAGATAATCAGTATGAAGTTCTCATCTGGAGTTAATGACCTTCATTATAATATGACGTGTTGGTTAAATGACGCTGTGATGGTAAAAATCGACGATATTAACCGAACTCGATATTTTGAGTTGAGCCCACCTTCAAAATTAAGAATTGTGAATTACTCATCCCCTCATTGTTCTCATCCACGTAATGCCCATTGCTCCTGAGGGTTAGGACTGCTTGAAATACTGAGTACCACGGATGTAATAGCTATTTAACACTACATCGTCGTTAATCAAGCACGTTCTTGTACATTGAGGGTCGTTAACTGAGCTTAATAATTTTGAACTCATGCCAAAAGCAGAAGCTGGGGGTCCTTCTTATAGAGAGGAAAATTATTGGGGCGGTCACCATGGCCCGAGTATGTGAGCTGATGAGCTACGGGACAGCTGATGAGCGTCGCAACAGCCAATAAATTGGCAGGTAACGCGAGGTCAAGGGCCCGGCCCGTTGTATTCGACAGCAGCTGCGAGATCGTTAGCCTTATACTCGCTGGTGAGCTTCGCCGGAATCTTCGCGGAGGCTGATTTGATCCCCGCCTGCTATCTCTCGGAAACCGCTCGACTGATTCGGACCGACTGAGTTTCAAAGAAAAGATTGCGGCCTGAGCTAGCTTTTCATTGAGACGTCAGTTTCAAAAACGTCAGGGAGGCGCTCAGAACGGTAAGAAGTGGGAGTTATCGTCACATAAACTAAGCATTCGGACATGCACGACAAGCATGCACACCCCCACGTTTTGATGTCATGGGTAAATGTACGGGTATTATGGTCCGTCCAACCATATGCCCGTATAATCATATTTTTGAATCAGGGGTCAATGCAGGGTCTTAAAAATGGGAGGGTGGAGGGCACAGCCATGCGATACTGAGATGAACATTGCAATGCACATAGCAAGCCGTTCTCTGCCCCAACTATGACATATGCATCCGCCCTGGCAGGATGCTCCAGATGTATGGATACCCACAAATCAGTGGCGGATGTAGTGTGTACGAACCGATATCCCTTATTTCACTTATTTCAGTACCAAAAACCAACCCACACTTACTACGACATTACCCTCTTCGTGAATCAGCTACATCCGCCTGGTGCTATCTAAGTGTTGACTAGACCTGGCAAGTGGTCAAGTTTGATATATTTGAGGACGATCAGCCTTATTGCAGTCCATCATTGGCGTGATTTTCAGCAGCGCAAAGCAATCTGTCACCTTTTGGCTGCCACTAGACTGTTAAAAAGATGGTATCTGTTGATATATGCCTTCCACAAACCAAGCTCATCGCTACCCCTGGACGGTGTAAGGTGCCAACACTTTGTGGGAGTGTGCTGAACTGGTCGCCAGCGAGCGTTATCCAAATTCATCGCTCTCCCCTAGACGGTTCGGCAATAACTTCGGTTAAACCAGAGACAGATGGAACCTGCCGCTGTCATGACGATCTGATAACGACTCGAACACGGCCTCACAAAGGTCAGATGCTCCGAGATAAACGCTGTGAGATATCACAAATGGAGGGGCAAGTCGCAGACAATCGTCTGACAAAAGCTTGGCCACGTCCCTTGGGCCGCGCCACCCACGACTGTTGCACCTCAGTTGGTGTTCAGTGCATTAGCGAGGAACATCGTGCACATAGAGGACAGCAGTATTAACCTGACTCCTGGGGGGAAAACCAGAAGAATGGAGACATAGTTGGGTGAATATTTCGGCAACATGCACTTACCAAAACTTCTGCTATGGTCTCGATAAAGGTATGTTCCCGAAATATCAACCCAACTATATCTCCATTCTCCTGGTTTTTCTCCGAGGAATAAGGATAATGCTATTATTTCAACCTGGTACGGTGGTCGATGCGCCCCCCCCCCCTCCCTAATGTTTTTTGAGGACAACTCTCTGGCATGCTGTGCAATCAAGCCCAAATTTTCAGCCTAGCTTTTCTGATTACGGAGTAGCGGCCGTTCTTGAGGAACACTGAACAGTGATATACGGCTCGGCACGGGCGGGGGGCAGCCGACGATGCTGCGGAACGCGCGCGGTCGGCCGACATTGGTACGTTATCGGAGCCATACATCATGATTATGTGCTCAAAACATATGGAAATATACACTCCTGCACTCACAATTGAACGATAAACACACTTATTTAGGTTTCATGTCGCAGCAGGTCATGGCCTTGTATGCATGATAGTGTTAAGTCAAAATATGAGATTTTCTAGAAAATGTGACCCTTAATCTGACATAAGGGGGTCAATTATTAATTTAACAGCATACAAGCTTGTACCAATGGCGAGATCTTGCTAACAAAATCCGCTGGTGTTTTGGCTAAGATCTATCTTCATTAGTTTGGAAACGCCAGGGGGAGGGGCGGCATCAACCCGCCTATCAGGGCACGTTATA